ACAAGGTTCCCTGGAGAATATCCCCTTGGCCGTCTCAAACAATCTTTTCATTGAACTTATCAAACTGTGTATTGGGGATTGTAAATTTTAATTCAATGGAGAATATTATGCTCAAAAACTTGGTATGGCGATGGGCAATCCACTTTCACCAGTGTTGAACAACTTATATATGGAATTATTTGAGAAGAAACTAATATTTTACCACCTTCGGCAGTTTGGTTTAGATATGTAGATGATGTATTATGTCTATGGCCATGTAATGAGGACTTATAAGACTTTCTACCACAACTTAACAACTTAGCCCCTCGACCAAATTCACTGTGGAATTAGAAAGTGGCTGTAAATTACCCTTCCTAGAGTGTCTCATCCACAGAATAGAGAACACCTTTAAGTTCAGTATTCATAGGAAGACTACTAATGTGTGTTCATTATTATTCTGCCCACCATAATAGAGTCAGTCAGTATTCTCATCAATGTTCTTACGTGCTCTACCAATATGCCGTCCAGAATTCATTGATGAGGAATATAAATATATATATAATAGTGGCTTGAACCAAAAGTACCCTAGTTCTTTAATAGACAAATGCCTTAACGTCGCTAAGAAATCTCTTTATAAAACTGATCCATGGCAATAAGAATCTCTTAGTATTACGTTTTAACAAAGAATTATCTCAAATTCCTCTACAACTGAAAACCTGGAACGTAACTGTAACCTTTAGTAAGTCCTGCACTGTAAAAGAATACTAATTAAGAACTCCCCCAGCAATGCCGGCGGCTGCATTTACAAGGTTCGTTGTAAGGAATGTACAGTAATATGTTTTACTTAGGCCAGACAGGTAAAGATCTTATAACTAGACTTAAACAACATAAATATAGTGTTAGGACAGGCCAGGAGTCCAATGCTCTGTTCATTCATATGAGGGATAATAAGCATTGCATTGACTGGGATAATGCCTCCTCAATATTACCTTGTAATTCAATCGTCAGTAGGAACATTATAGAATCCAGTCTCATTAAACATACCGAATCTGTCAACATGAATTTGAGTAATGGCATATATAAACTAGATAATTTTGTGATCAAGAAGATTTGTAACCAGGTGAGAAGGTTGGATCACTACCTAATGACCAGAACATTGTGGACCCCTGCTGACCCCAAGGGACTTTATCTCACTCTCCTCTACTGTATATATTAGCCGTGTCAAGTATTACTCCTTAGTCTGTACTCACCCCTGAAGATGTGAATTACACTAAAGCGCTTGGGAACTTTGTGTTTTCTTCTTTCCTATGTGGTTATCAGCATAGACACCGTGACGTCATCCAGGCCATGAGTCACGTCACTACGCAGTTTTTGGTGAAGAGGTCGACGAGCTGCCGAGCGGGTGAGATAAAGAGACACTCAGTTACCGTCAAGAACTGGAGACGACCACTCGAGCTCTCCAGAGTCAATACACCTGTAAGTGCTGTGCAGTGCTGTGTAATGCTGTTTAGTGCTGTGTAATGCTGTTCAGTGGTGTGTAATGCTGTTTAGTGGTGTGTAATGCTGTTAAGTGCTGTGTAATGCTGTTTAGTGCTGTGTAATGCTGTTTAGTGGTGTGTAATGCTGTTTAGTGGTGTGTAATGCTGTTTAGTGCTGTGTAATGCTGTTAGTGCTGTGTAATGCTGTTTAATGCTGTGTAATGCTGTGTAAAGCTGTTTAGTGGTGTGTAAAGCTGTTTAGTGCTGTGTAATGCTGTTTAGTGCTGTGTAATGCTGTTTAGTGCTGTGTAATGCTGTTTAATGCTGTGTAAAGCTGTGTAAAGCTGTTTAGTGGTGTGTAAAGCTGTTTAGTGCTGTGTAATGCTGTTTAGTGGTATGTAATGCTGTTTAGTGCTGTGTAATGCTGTTTAGTGGTGTGTAAAGCTGTTTAGTGGTGTGTAAAGCTGTTTAGTGGTGTGTAAAGCTGTTTAGTGCTGTGTAATGCTGTTTAGTGCTGTGTAATGCTGTTTAGTGCTGTGTAATGCTGTTTAGTGCTGTGTAATGCTGTTTAGTGCTGTGTGCTGTTTGTGTAATGCTGTTTAGTGCTGTGTAATGCTGTTTAGTGCTGTGTAATGCTGTTTAGTGCTGTGTAATGCTGTTTAGTGCTGTGTTTAGTGGTGTGTAATGCTGTTTAGTGCTGTGTAATGCTGTTTAGTGCTGTGTAATGCTGTTTAGTGCTGTGTAATGCTGTTTAGTGCTGTGTAATGCTGTTTAGTGCTGTGTAATGCTGTTTAGTGCTGTGTAATGCTGTTTAGTGCTGTGTAAAGCTGTTTAGTGCTGTGTAATGCTGTTTAGTGCTGTGTAATGCTGTTTAGTGCTGTGTAATGCTGTTTAGTGCTGTGTAAAGCTGTTTAGTGCTGTGTAATTTAGTGCTGTGTAATGCTGTTTAGTGCTGCGTAAGTGCTGTGTGCTGTTTAGTGCTGTGTAATGCTGTGTAATGCTGTGTGTAATGCTGTGTAATGCTGTTTAGTGTGTGTGTAAATGCTGTTTAGTGCTGTGTAAAGCTGTTTAGTGCTGTGTAAAGCTGTTTAGTGGTGTGTAAAGCTGTTTAGTGCTGTGTAAAGCTGTTTAGTGCTGTGTAAAGCTGTTTAGTGCTGTGTAAAGCTGTTTAGTGCTGTGTAAAGCTGTTTAGTGGTGTGTAAAGCTGTTTAGTGCTGTGTAAAGCTGTTTAGTGCTGTGTAATGCTGTTTAGTGGTGTGTAAAGCTGTTTAGTGCTGTGTAAAGCTGTTTAGTGCTGTGTAATGCTGTTTAGTGCTGTGTAAAGCTGTTTAGTGCTGTGTAATGCTGTTTAGTGGCTTAGAAAGGGAAGTTTAAAAGCAAAGACTTGTGGTGTTGCTAATAGTAGATGAGAGATTAATATTTATAATTAATAATCTATCACCTACTAATTATTATTCTTACGGTAACTTACAACTCCTTGACTTTGAGAAATTTAATATATTGTTTAGAGTAATTTAAAGAACCTGATGTGTGTTCATGTGAGCAACTCTGTGTATTAAGACAGCCTATTGTGTGTGTATGTGTGTGTGTGTGTGTGTGTGTGTGCGTGTGCGTCCTTAGACCATCACGTGACACCACTGACATGATCTTTGCTGCCTGCCAGATACATCATCGTGACCTGTACATGTCCTTCATTGACTTAACCAAGGCCTTCGACTCGGTCAACAAGGAAGCCCTCTGGTAGACCTTCAGCAGTTTTGGCTGCCCACCAAAATTCATCGCCATTGTGAGGCAACTCCACGATGGCATGAACGGCAGTGACCTGCACAACGGCACCCAGTCCGAGTTCTTCCCCATCCAAACGGGGGTAAAACAAGGGTGTGTACTGGCACCAACTCTCTTTTCCATTTTCTTGGCTGCCTTCCTTACTCCTGCCAGTGCCAATTTAGCCGGCAGGGTGGACATCGAGTACCGAGTGAAGGGTCTTTTCAACATAAGACGACTCCAGGCAAGAACAAAGGTGTCGGCAGCTTCCATTACTGAACTTCAGTATGAAGACGACCTCACCCTTGTTGCTCACACTGAACGCGACCTACAGGAGATCCTGAACACCCACTCAGATGCGTATGCACACTTCAGCCTTGAGGTGAATGTTTATAAGACTCAGATTCTCTTTCAGCCTGCCCCTGGTTCAGCCACACCTCCACCATCCATCCAGCTTAACGGTACTACCCTCTCTAATGTTACCCACTTTCGGTATCTCGGCTCCCACCTGTCCACCACTGCGGACATCAATGAAGAGATTCAGCAACGGATCAGATGTGCATCTCAAGCCTTTGGCAGACTCCGTACCCGTGTCTTCTGCTGTAGGGAGCTGAAATTATCTACAAAGTTGCACGTATATCAAGCAGTGGTCCTCCCTACCCTGCTATATGGCAGCGAGACATGGGTCACATACAGGAGGCACCTCAAGGCACTTGAAAACTTTCACCACAATAGTCTACGTTCCATCCTCCGAGTTCGCTGGGAAGACAAGAGAACAAATGCCAGTATTCTCGCTGACACCAACTGTAGGAGCATCGAGGCTACCATTATCCATGGACGACTACGCTGGACTGGCCATGTTACCCGCATGGACGACAGTAGACTGCCAAAGCAGCTACTTTACAGTCACCTAACGAATAGTAAACGTAACGCTGGCGGGCAACTGGAGAGATATAAGGATAGTCCTAAGACAAACTTGAAAAAGTGCCAAATCGACCCCCTCACCTGGGAGACGATTACTCCACACCGTAATGCTTGGAGGATCACCACACGAGGTGTCAATACTTTCTGGTTAGCCCGACTGCAAACCGAGGCAGACAAACGCCAACGCCGGAAAGAAAAACTCTGCCGGTCCCGTATAGGCCTCTTTAGTCACCTCAGAACTCACCAACCTAGGTGCCATCCTTAATAACTCCTATCATTGTATCATAGCTGGATGATCGTCAGTAGTGGTAGTGTGTGTGTGTGTGTGTGTGTGTGTGTGTGTGTGTGTGTGTGTGTGTGTGTGTGTGTGTGACTATGTATTACCACACCAATGTTTGCAGGTGCTCTCCCTTGAGCTATTTCTTCAGACAAAACCCGTTCTAGATGGCCGGTAATCATAGCCTTGCATGACCTTTTCTGGCTCAAAATATCTCTACCAACTGTGACTATTTTTCTATGTTTGCTATACTGTTCTCCCAACTCTACCAACTATCTGGAATTCTTTGACTATCTCACTTCTTGCTATGAGTCGTTGCTATCCACACACCCAAGCCTAGAGGATTTCAACATACATCACAGAGAGTGGCTTGGCTCTGCAAGGGATGACCCAGGTGGAGCTGAGGCACTCTCTTTTTCCTTACTTAATGATTTTGAACAAAATAATTAAACACCCTACACGTGTTCCAGACCGACACGACCAACTCGCTAACATTCATGATCATTGTTTTACCTCTAACCCCTCACACTATCCAGATTCAATTTCTGCCCCCTTAGGGTCTTCTGATCACAATCTTATTTCTATTAAATCAAACTGGGCACGACCAACTATGGCACTATCGAAGAGCGAACTGGAAATCCTTGCGAGAATTCTTCTCCGACTTTCCCTGGGTATGTGCTGACAGCATTGCTGGGGTTATACAGGGCGGTATGAGTGCATTTATCACATCTTCTTCCAAAACTTTCATTTTACAATCATGGTTTGGTCGCTCCTGTTCTCTCGCATGTAGGGAGAGAAATATGGTGTATCAAGTTATGAAACTATCTCCTTCTCCTGTTACTAGTTCCTCTTTCGTTACTTCTAGGAATCATTGTAAGACTATTCTTCGGAGGGCCAAGAGGAATTTTATAAAAAGAAAGACCGCTGACCTGACTAACTCTTCCTCTAGTAAATCCTTCTGTTCCTTAACAAAAAACATCTGTAATAACTTCTGCACTCCCTCTTTTCCTCCTCTCTTCCGACCTGATAACTCTATAGCCAACTCTCTTCCTGATAAAGCCAATCTCTTTGCACCTTATTCTCCTCTAACTCCACCTTAGACGATTCCAACTCTATCCCTCCTACTGTACCTATGGCACTTTCCTATAACCTCCACTCGTAGGGTTGCTGGTGTGTTATCTCGGTTGGAAGTGAGTAAGGCGCATGGACCGGACGGAATACCCAATTGCTTTGTGAGGGAGTGGGCTGAAATTCTAGCCCCTGTGCTTGCTTGACTCCTTCGCCTTTGCCTCAAAACCCAAACTTTTCCTTCTTCTTGGAAGCATGTCTCGGTTCAGCCCATCCCGAAGAAGGTGACCATTCTAATCCCTCTAACTATCGCCCCACTGCCCTAGCTTCACCCCTCTCTAAGATTTTCGAAACTATCTTGAACTCCCATTAACTCCGTCACCTTGAACGCTTTTCTCTTTTGTTGGATCACCAGTATGGCCTCCGCCAGGCGAGATCTACTGGTGATCTGCTCTCCTACTGCACCCATCTTTGGTCATCCTCTCTTGGGGATTATGGGGAAACTTTCGTCGTGGCCCCCGCCATCTCCAAAGCATTTGACAGGGTATGGCACAAGTCTTTGCTTTCTAAATTTCCCTCTTATGGGTTCTCTCCTCCTCTTTGTTCTCTAATTTCTAGCTTAATTGAGAACCGATCCATGGCAGTTGTTGTCGAAGGATCGAGCTCTCGCTCTTTCTCTACCAATAGTGGAGTGCCACAGGGTTCTGTTCTTTCACCTACTCTCTTCCTTCTTTTTATCAAGTGACTAAGCTAGTAGGTCTTATAAGAAGGTCGTTCAGATATCTAGACGGTCCGTCCCTCGTAACGATCTTCAAGAGTGAGGTGCTTTCCCTCCTGGAGTACTGTCACCCGGTCTGGTCCCAGAGATATGCTAGAGACTGGCAGTTGATTGAAAATGTCCAAAGGAGGGCCACCAGACTGGTGCCTGCACTTCGGCACTTCAGTTATACAGAGATATTAGAGCGCTTGCAACTGCCTAGCTTATACTACAGACTGGCAAGGGGCGACCTAATTAAGGTGTATAAACATCTCAGAGGGCACTACTCACTCGAGTACCCATACCTGGAGCTGGCGGACGCCCGCCCCACAAGGGGTCACAGATCAAGGTTGAAGAAGCCTGTACCACAAGTCCAGAAAACTGTGAGGGCAAACTTTTTCGGAGCGAGAATTGTGAACTCTTGGAACAATCTGCCAGAGAGTGTTGTGATGACACCGAGTGTGAGCTCTTTCAAGACCAGACTTGACCAACACTGGAGCAGGTACAGATACATTCAGGAGCCAGTTCATGCCCAGTACTTGCCAACAGTGCGTATCGGAGACGTGACCGTCCGCCCAAGCGGCTAACGAGGCGATCAGTGGTGAAGAGGATAAAAAAAATAAGGATGTGTCCCCTGTGCGAGCGTCCTGCGGCATCGAGCGACCACACGAGTAAACGCGGTACCTTGGTGTAGCGGACAAACATATGTGTTTTCTTTGATGTGTCCCACGTAGACGCGTGAAGCGTTCGTGACCGACCAGGTAGAGGGAATTAGACGCGCGACCTGGAAGCAGTGATCACATATTTTTTGATCATCGCTTCCTGCGTCGCGCGAATCCTCGCGTCGGCAGCAGACAGTCATCCACCCACAGTCATGGATTTTCTTGAATCTTTGATTGCTGAAGTCTTTCAGAGGCCTGTTTTATGGGACCTCACGAATGGAATACCACAATCGAAATACCGTTGACAAACAATGGGAGAATGTTGCCACTGCTTTGAAAATTAACAGTAAGTTAAAAACTTTATGCATCAGTTTATTCACAAATATATCTATTAGGTCAGGGACAAGTAGTGAAATAATACTGTATCTTGGCTACTATAACCCTGGGCCTGTTACCTGAAACATCAAGGTGATCATAACTATTGAATAAAATTAGGCAGATAAATGTTTAGTACCTCTGATGGTCGAATTTTCTCAAGGGTGTAGCCAAATATAGTATGGTACATTCTGAGGTATTCGTGAAACTTCTTGGATGTTGGCGACGTTCCTTGTAGGGATGGTGAAATTCACTTACTTCTGTCCTCCTCTGTTGTACGGGATGTTTTTTCCTGGGTACCTCTGCAGGCACCACACACTGAAGAACATTATTTTCTAAAAGTATCGGCAAACGTCTGCGGTGCGTAGACGGCAAGACGCTGGGAGCGGGAACACAGATCACTTTGGGAAGGAGGTAGCGCGTCTACGCCTTGGTCACTCGATGCCACAGGACGCTGCAAATGGGTCATAGCCTAATAAGGTCTTTAAACGCGTAACAAGGTTATTAGTATGCTAGTCCAACAATAGTTAAAACTTACCAGCGAAAGAGATCTCTGTTATCACGCAACAAGTCCTGCCAGATTTATGGTGTCCCTCCCTCCTTCAGAGTTCATGATAGGTACACATCAAACACAATGGCTCTTCTCTTGTACTTGGGAGAAATTGCCTGTATAGTTGGGAGGCCCTTTTCACAATATGCGGTTGCGGCAAACTCGCCGGTCCGACACCGGATAAGGCCTCTCACACTATGCGGTTCTTCGCCGCACCGGAGAGACCACGGTATTCTGCTGTTCATTCGTCCGGCTGCCGCGTCCAGCGACCAACTTTGGACTCTTGTTTAGTTTGCAGTGTACGGGCGCGGTACTGGACAAGTTCAGTGGAATGCCGCACATGCAATCCGGCGTCGGACCGGCGAATTCGCCCCAACCGCATAGCGTGAAGAGCTACATAAAAACCATCAGTCGACTGCTATAACCGGTACCGCACCGCATCTAGATGCGGCGAGAAACCGCATGGTGTGAAAGGGGCCTTACTCAGCATACATTATTTACGTACGGTACTATACGTGGGGGCGGAGAGTTTACCAATGCTGAGCTATCAATGAGGATAACATGAGCGGCGGGGGGACAGGTGGGTGCGAAGGATTGATAATTTTCGACTGTAATGTCACTCTGAGAACACACACATAAAAAGAAATTGCCGCAAGTATTATTTTAATTTTGTTGTAATTCTTCACAGGACTGACGACTGGCATCAAGTTTCGGTGACATAGTGGAGGTCTCAAGTCACACCTAGTCCAGACAACACAAACAAAACTACTCTCATCACTCAAGTTCGAACAATGAATATATACAAAAAATAAGTTTGAAAATATTGATTTGTAAATACCGTAGCCTAACAAAATAGATTTAAAGGTGAATTTTAAAAACATAAATATGTTAAAAAACAGAAGAAATGTAAAATTATTATTTCAACTTTCTTCAGGCCAAGTTACTGTACTGTACATCTCACCATAAATCAATACAAAACCTTCACTGCAGTGGCCAGAATCACTTGCATTATACATATGAGTTCATCTTTTTCAATATATTATCACTAATAGAAAAACTGAAGTGAAGATTATTTCTTAAAGATTTAAGGGAACATTACCGCTAGTGAGGTCAGGTTTTTTAGAATTGTCTAAAATTGACCGAAACGATAATTTTACCAATATTTCTTATTTCTGAAACAGATGTGAAACGTTAAGAAAAAAATTGAAGTTCGAGTCAAGGTGATATACTGAATATATAAACCGGAGCTAAGAGAGTTGTAACATGCCGTCTGTGACACTACGGAGTGACCCAATAGTAACCAACCGAGCTTAACCCAACGCAACGCTGTATTTAATTTTCGTCAACTCAAGATGGTTAGGTTAGGTTGTTTCATGTCATCTTTTATAAATAGTTTAATGCAGTAGTGACACAGGCGTCATGTATATATACAAATAATGGCAGACACTATTCTTATAAACCTCATATTTTCTTTCGTTCGCCAATAGTTTCTGCGATAAAAATAATGTTTAGTAATTCTGTAAACAAAAATATATCCTTCCAAGTGTTTAGTAATTTAGATAATTTTAATCATTGTGACATTACACACAGACAAGAAAGAAAAGAATCATGCGGATTTTCCTTCAATATCACTCAAGTAATCCGGTCTCTTTTTTTCCTCCAGCGTTGATATGAAAGGATGTGGGCGTACTATGATGATTTGGGCTGTGGTGGGCCTACTGGGGGGTGTGGTGGTGGCGGAGGAGCTGACTTGTGGGCGTGGGTGTCACTGCTGGACGGAAGTTACATCACTGAAGCGTGAATATCATGTCATCTGCAACGAGACGACGGGACGGGTGAGTTACTGGCCGCCATGTACAGTATGTTTGTCTGACGTTATTGATCACTTCTATTATTATTATAACTGCTACTACAACTACTCAATATAATAATAATAATAATAATAATAATAATAATAATAATAATAATAATAAGAGGCGCAGAAAGTCAGATCATCAACCTGGGACTTGGTCACATATGGCAGCAGGGTCTACCATTAGACAATACATGATGCTTCCAATGTCTTCCCAGGCGGTAGTACCTCCCTGTACCTCCCTGTACCTCCCTGTTTGGTAGCTGCCCCTTCATTTCCTTTATAAGTAATTTGAGACATTCTGATGGATATTTGGGACATTCTGGTGGATATTCGGGACATTCTGATGGGTATTACGGACATTCTGATGGATATTTTGGACATTCTGGTGGATATTTGGGACATTCTGATGGGTATTACGGACATTCTGATGGATATTTGGGACATTCTGATTGATATTCGGGACATTCTGATGGATATTTGGTTAGGTTATGTTAGGTTCTTAAAAGAGGTTATTACACTGAACAAAATTCCTGCCGTTCTTGGTTCTCAGTTCTCGGTCAATAAACTGACTTTTTCAATAACACGTTCAGTTGTTCGTGAATCACCGTCGCTCTGAACAGTACAATAATAATGATAATAGTCTTCTGTGTTGTTTTAAGCTGTTCTTGAGATGTAATTTTCTTTTGTAAGTATAAAAAATATTCTAGTGATAATATATTTACATTAAAATCCATTTTTTTTTTATAAATTTATTTAATAGACTCGATGTTTTGTAATTCTAAATATTATAAAACGTCAATTGAACACGAAATGAAGTCAAAACTTGCCCGAGAATTTTGGTACAGAAGGAACAGTGTTTGTCTTCCGAGGAATGCGAAAATTTGCCAACTGTGATTGCCCTTTGAGGGAACACTACACCGGCCGATTTTTTTTTGCCTTGTGTGATTGATTTTCCCATTCTGCCTCACACTGATACTTGAAGCTCAGAGGTCACCCACTGCATATCATTCAGCACCGGTAAACTTGCATCATTTAATTCACCATACCGTCTGCTGCCTCAGGGGGTTCGTGTTATAAACAGTCCACTAAAATTATTAATTAAAGATTGTCCCTTAAACTAATTTCTTCCACTTTACACCTCTTAAGAGAAAATAACATGAGAATTTATATAGTAAAAAATAATCTATAATTTTAGTGGTGCTAAGTGAACGTTATTTTTGTATTTTAGTTTTATAAAGCAATTAATTATAATACAAAATCTTCACTTACAAACGTCAGAATATTATTGAAAATCTATGTTTCCAGAGACAAAAATAATCACTCCATTGGCAGTGATCTGTAGCCACACACACTGTACGTCTTCCATACACACACACACTGTACGTCTTCCATACACACACAATGTACGTCTTCTATACACACAATGTACGTCTTCTATACACACACTGTACGTCTTGAATACACACACTGTACGTTTTCTATACACACACACACACTGTATACCTTCCTTATATATACACACGCAAACTACCCCTAGTATGACTCCTTTAAGGCCTAACTCACCCCCGCCTTCTGTCAGGGTAGATACGTTCAGTACATCATTTATTCCAGAAGTATACCAAATAACATGATAGATTAATCATAGAAATGTAGTAAAGATATTTATTATTATTTTTTTTTTATGGGGATGGCAGTTATCAAGGGCGCTAGACTTCTTGACGTCAGGGAGGTTCTTGAGCACTGACGCCATATCCTGAACAATACACTAAACTTGACTCATGACATTCAGTGAGACGCACGTAATTCTTTTTCTTCTAATGTACGATAATTATTGTCTGTGTTTTGTGAAGGACGAGAATGAGGCCTGGCAGTGTGAGCTACTTGTATTTTATAGCTAATCTTATCTAATAACAAGAGTGAGTATTTTAGAGTAACCCAGTGCGTCATTCTCCCGGCGGCAAATATTACTCCACTCACTCTGGCCGAGATAGTAGACCTAGGGCGTCCGGTCACGTGGGCCTGGTGTGACGTAAGATAGGTATACAGTATCTGCCTCTGTGGACTTGACATTTGTTTATCAGCTACGTCTTGGCGACAAACAGATACAATATACGTTAATATCTCCTAGAGTGTTAAATACTAAGATTACTGCTTCACAACGCTCATTATTCTCACATTACCTCGGACCTCCTCAACAGGATTCGAACCAGTGACCCGTGATAAGATTCTGTTAGCTGAGGTATAGTTTTGACCTAACTGTACATGAAACTGTGAAAAAGTACAGTCAATATTTTCAATTACTTCAAGTGAATTAATAATCTTCCATAAAGAATTGAACTGAACTATTTTTTTCACATTATTTTTACCGTTCATTAATCCCGGCACTACGATGTCTCCTTATTTGTTTTATTCTGTCCACCGCCAGACGCCTTATTTCATTTGGGGAAGTTCCATCTCATAGTCAAGGGTTTAAACAAAACTTGGCTGCTTCTACAAGATGTAGATTTAAACATTCGTAATAATAATCCATTTGCTCATCAATGCCCACTTATACCTGGAACACCTTACAGTAGAAGGTGAATTAATCCCCCACTCATACTATTGTAACTTAGTTATTTCCTTCTGGTTAACGCAAGACGATTACACTCAGCTGAAGAAACCTTTAACCTGTTGACCCATGGCGATAACCACAACAAAATTCGACAGTGTGACAATCGTCGAGGACGGGTAGAAGAGTCGTTAACTTGGCTTTGATATATTAGCGATAATATGTTGAGCTGACCTTTAATAGTCCTCGCTTTTTATATAATGTTGATAAAACACTTCCCTCCCTCCTCCTAGTGACATGCCTGGCACTTGACATTATTAGGGACCTGCCACAGTTTGCCATAAACAGGTGAAATGTTCCGGGAACTTTCCCCCCACACACTCATCATTCTCTCACTTTATATAACTTCACAAAACCTATGACCCTTCAGGCCTTTTACGCCCTTAATGCATGAGTCATAAAGGCAAGCATGAACTCCGCATGCTTCCCTGTTGGGCGCTGTAAACGCTTCTGCGCTTCACCTGGCACAGGATGTAAGGGGGTGCCCAATAAACTAGCCCCCTCGTGGGCAATCTGTAAATCTGTAATAATAATAATAACAATAATAATAATAATAATAATAATAATAATAATAATAATACAGTGATAATAATAATAATAATAATAATAATAATAATAATAATAATAATAATAATAAAGACATACAAAAAAGATCAATAGTGAGAAACAATATATGTATGTTGTGTTGTCAATAGTAAGAGAAACAATTGAGACCCTGTAATTGTGTGTAAATGAGGCAGAAAGTCAGATCATCAACCTGGGACTTGGTCACATATGGCAGCAGGGTCTACCATTAGACAACACATGATGCTTCCAATATCTTCCCAGGCGGTAGTACCTCCCTGTTTGGTAGCTGCCTGGGTACATATATCGTAGTGATCATCCTCGAAACTTTATATTTAGTCTTATATGGAGAGAGAGAGCGAATAAAAAATATTTTCTAGCGTTGGCGCCAGAAATTTATATTTTTCGATTTTTTGTGTGGGTGGGTGGGGGGTCTATATCACTTAAAGAAGTGCAATTTTGAAGACACAAAGTGGGCGGGGCTTTTAAGTATGGAAAATTGTGGGGTAGAAACACACAAATGGCGAAAGCAAACCTAACGAAAACTGACCACTCTCAAATATTAGTCTAAATGTCTATCACCTAACCAGAGAAACCAGAAGGACCTGACCTGACCTAACCTGACCTAACCTAACCTAACCTGACCTGACCTAACCTAACCTGACCTCGGCCCCACTGGACCACCAGGTTTGTAAACCTAACCTAACCCAGCAAGACAAAAGAAGAACCAAAGAGACCTAAAGAAACCAAACCTGCTCCTCCATACAGATGTTTGTAGTTGATGCCAAGTTATTCAGAGAAATTAAGAACCAAACAAACTGTGAAGAGCTGCAGAAGGATCTGTCACCATTAACAGCGGTTGAAGAAATAGCTGCTAAGATTTAATGTCACGAAGTGTAAGAGGCTGCACCTGGGTCATACCAAGTAAGGAGGCTTACCATATGGCCCAACGGGGCGAAAAAACTGCATTAATAAAGACCGAATGCAAGAAGGACCTGGGTGTGTATGTTGACAACGAACGGAAATTCTCAGGCCAGTGTGAGAAGGTGAACCAAGCAACTACTGTATACTAGTAGGTCTTATAAGAAGGTCGTTCAGATATCTAGACGGTCCGTCCCTCGTAACGATCTTCAAGAGTGAAGTGCTTCCCTATCTGGAGTTCCGTCACCCCGTCTGGTCCCCGAGACATGCTAGAGACTGTCACTTGATTGAAAATGTCCAAAGGAGGGCCACCAGACTGGCACTTCGGCACCTCAGTTACCTAGAGAGATTAGAGCACCTGCAACTGACTCAGTTGTAGGACACAACACAAGATTGAAGAAGCCACAAGTCCAGAAAACTGTGAGGGCAAACTTTTACAGAGTGAGAGTTGTGAACTCTTGGAACAATCTGCCAGAGAGTGTTGTGACGGCACCGAGTGTGACTCTTCAACACAAACTTGACCAACACTGGAGCAGGTTCAGGTACATTCAGGAGCCGGTGCGCAGTACTTAACAGTGCGTAACAGAGACGTGACTGATCACCCAGTGGTGAAGAGGATAAAAATATAAAGTCAAAGTAATCGAAAAGTCAAAATAATTAGAAAAATATAAATTTCCGACGAAAACGCAAGTAAGTACATGTACACGAGTAACATGTGACATGGACACGTCTGCTGATTGGCTGCATAAGAAGTAAACAATGTATTCGTTATATCCCCGCCAACTTGAACTCTCTTAAATGAAATCGAAATTTTTAAATAAGGCGAAAACTACACTGTTCCGACGGATGAACTATAGAATAAGGTATTGTTTTCTTGCTTTATCTCACTAGAGTATACTATAAGAATCAGTATAAAGTTCAGTATATGGCCACTCTGAAATATTAACCTACACCTGCACTAAGTGTAGATTGAGAGCTGTTAACTTTTATGATCTACGTACACCGTGTGCCTACATTGTCTACACACACTGCCTATCTACATGTCGGTTTTATTGAGTTATTATTATTATTATTATTACAATTATTATTATTATTATTATTATTATTATTACAATTATTATTATTATTATTATTATTATTATTATTATTATTATTATTATTATTATTATTATTATTATTATTATTATTATTATTATTATTAATTACAATTATTATTATTATTATTATTATTATTATTATTATTATTATTATTATTATTATTAATATTATTATTATTAGTATACTTGTAATCTACCTGTCAGCCTCACTGATGACTATGAGGATGGCCTCTCATGCATACAGAACTGGTTACGGGATGGCCTCCTCGTCCTTACCACAGAGACTGGTTGGGATGGCCTCTCGTCCTTAGAACTGGTTGGGATGGCCTCTCGTCCATACAAGAACTGGTTGGGATTCTTCTCTCGTCCATACAGAACTGGTTGGGATGGCCTCTCGTTCATACAGAACTGGGCGGGATGGCCTCTCGTTCATAAGAGAACTTCAGAGCGAGATGGCCTCTTGTTCATACAGAACTGGGCAAGATGGCCCTCTTCATTCTGCATATGAAGAACTGGCCGGGATGGCCTCTTGTTCATACAGAACTGGTTGCAGGATGGCCTCGTTCATAAAGGAACTGGGCAGGATGGCCTCTTGTTCAGCACAGAACTGGGCGAGATGGCCTCTTGTTCACTTCTAAGAACTGGATTGGGATGGCCTCTCGTTCACCTCCAGAAACAGGATGGCCTCTTGTTCATAAGAACTTGGTTAGGATATTGCTCTCGTTCGCAGAACTGGGCGGGATGGCCTCTCATAGAGAACTGGGCGGGATGGCCTCTCGTTCATAGAGAACTGGGCGGGATGGCCTCTCGTTCATAGAGAACTGGGCGGGATGGCCTCTCGTTCATAGAGAACTGGGCGGGATGGCCTCTCGTTCATAGAGAACTAGGCGGAATGGCCTGTCTACCTCACTAGTGTCGAAGGGCAAGGAAGGCTAGATTCATCCCCATGTAATGTATTGTTTAAAACTATTAAATCTCTCTCTGTCTACCATAACTAATCTAACATTGTTGTCCCCAGGAGGTGACCCTGACCGAGACAATCTTTCCTGGCGAGAAGAAGAGCTTACTGGAAATGACCTCAATCAGGCTGGAGTTGTCGACGAAGGCTGTGGACAGTGAGGCCAACGTGACAGAAGGCCTCGGAGACAGAGAGGCACGAGTGACGGCAGGATTTTTCGGGAAGTGGAGAGAATATTATCATTGCGCCTTGTACATCCGGGGTGGTCGTCTGTTCCTGCCTGAGGTGGTTGACTCTTCCTTAGGCTTTCAACTATCTGACAGAACAGCTGGTGAGTGTGAGGGAGGAAGTAGAGGGAGGGAGGGCGTGAGAGAGTGCATGTGAGGGAGAGAAAGAAGGAGGATAAATATGAAGGAGATAGAGAAAGAGTGAAGAAGGCTCCAAGGGAAAGATGGAGTGTAGGGGAAGAGAGAGAGAGAATCTGAAGGTGTGATGGCAAGATGCTGAGATGTATTACCATAAGTTGTCTCTCGCCGCAGGGATTCCTATACAGTATAACTATATCATCTGCAGCCTCGGTAAACTGTGTCAGATATCAACAATTCTTTGGTGTCGTTGTTGTCTTCTTCTTAAATCTGATCATTATAGTCACGCTCCCTCAGACTACCAACTAGGTGTGTTATTCCTGTGTCGTAAAAACTATGTATAATCGTTTAGACTTTTAATCATATCAATGCCATGTCTCTTATAGCTGTTTAAGTCTTTTTATTTCTTTACTCGATTCCAGACTGATATGAATACTCCAAATATGTCCTCACTAATGACATGTAACACACACACTCAGTTCCATAACCTCATATCTCCTCAACACATATCTTGTATGGTAGTGCATCAAACACCTATACGAAATCCAAGAACGACAACATCACCTCGTCTCCTCATCTATCCATTGTCTGGGTCCAGTCGTTCAACACTTTCAGTAGTTGGTAGTCAAAACCTCCTCGTTAGGTTTTGTTTGTTAAATGTAGTGAATCTCCAATCTGGCTCGTTGGTGGAGTCACTTGCAAACACAAATAAAAAATCACCGAGCGTTTTTGTGTTTCTCTGTAATTGTTTTGTTTCTGATTCTCGTTCATTGTTCTTTATTAAGTCAGTTATTTTCACTTTAGTTTCTATTTTCTATTCACTTTTTGGAGATTTGTCTTCCACGCCTTTCCAAAACCGAAGCCTAGTACTTTGTCTTTACATTTGCATTCCTTTCCTCTCTCCGCTTTCCTCATCTCTCTCTATATATATATTTTTTCAAAGATTTCTTCCTTATTTTATTTCGGGATTCTCTCTCTCGCCTTCATCTTCATTACCTTCTATGCCTAGGAGACCCTCTGAGTGTGTAGTGGCTCAGCAACAACATTGTCCCTTGCTCTCTCCGTCTCCTCACACATTTGCAACCGTGAGCTAACGCCGTAACCATGTTTTGTTTTGTTGGGAGTGGGTTTTTTACTCACATTTTCCTGGTTTTACGGACGCATCATTTATATCGTGGCTCCCTTTAAACTCCACATTCACTGAGCACATTGGTTATAAAAAATTCTCATCGTGTTTATTCCTTTCCTATATTATCCCTTACATTCCACAAAACTAAATATTCCTGTGTTATTCTCCCTTATTTTCCTTATTGTCGTAGCAGCCCCACTGTTTACATCTCCACTTGACTCCTCCATGTTGATTGCAGTTGAAATCCCGTTCTTTCCTTTTAGGCTTAGATGTTTCTGTAATGCAGCAGTAAGTCTTCTCCTTTGTGGGCACATTCGCCAAACTTCCACAGTCCCACTCTGGGTAATTCCTCAGTAATATCACCAGAGATTCACTGATAATTAAGTGAAATTCCTAGAGCGTCAACAGACACGTCCGACAGCCACACCATAAGCATATACACACCTCAAGTGTTGATTGAGTAGTGTGATTACTAACGTTGGTACTCGCTTAAAGACCTTTTGCTGTTGAAGGGTAATAATAACATAATAACATCCACACGGGAAAGAAGGTGCAGGGAAGAAGGGATAGGAGGGAGGGAAGGAGGGTGTGTACTGTGGGAAATTACAGTTCGTGTATTTGTATGCATTGTTATATCGTTCTCGTGTCTGTATTACAGGTCTGAGTCTGGTGAACGTAGCGCTGGACGTCCTCCCGGGTGGACTTTTCAGTGGCAAGAGAGCCAAACTACAAATCTTCAGGTCTTCTGTGGGTCGGATAGCCGCCGGCCTCCTACGTGGTGTGAATGAACTGCAATACATGGAAATCCAAACTTCTACCGTAGGCGTGTTCGAGGGACCGCTGGGGACGACACAGCTACAAATCGGCCAAGCACAACACCCACTGTATGTGTACAATACCACAATTGGCATCCTGTTGAAAGGGGCGTTCAGGATAGGGTTCCCGAGGCGTGAGAACCTGGTACTGAAGGAGGTAACCATTGGCGTGGTGTCTGAAGGCGGCTTTGACGTTTCAGGGAGCGCCAGTGTTGAATTGAGCAATTGTAGGGTGGCAGACCTGCGCCAACACGCCTTCAAATTGGAAAGCCAGGGTAAAATAGCCATCAATAGCAGCTGGTTGAATCTCCGGCCCGGGGCGCTCTCTCAATTTACCTGTGCCTTCCACGCCAACCACATCCACTCTAACAACATCCTGCTATTACCTGGTAACTCTGCCTACGACTTCCCCAACACATATGACCAACAAGACGACCTGGAACTTCTCAACAACGACACTCTGAACTTTTTGGCTCGTGAGCGACTGATGGAAGAGTTGGGGCAAGCTCTTCACTCCACCTGTGTGAAGGACAACCTGCCGTCTTGGCTGCCACAACTCTCCAGTACGGGGGCATTGCCTCTCAAAAATAACAAACGCCCGCTGCTACTCAACGGACTGTACATCCTGGTGGGGGTGAGTGTGATGGCCATGTTGTTAGTGGTGCTGCTGGCGTGTCTGCTGACCCGCTCCCGCCGCCGCATTGTCCCCACCAACAGCCCAGTGATGGTGATGAGCCAACTAGCTGAAGACCCCATCTATGAAGACGTCCCCGTCCCTTGCTCAGCTCCCCCACCCGTGCCACCACCTACCACCATCCCCCGCTCTCACTGCATGGACAAGATGGGCGCCTGCAGTGCGAGGGATAACAAAGATGACCTCTGCGCTGCCAAAAGCAGCATGGACAACTTCCACGTTTCCAGACCTCTCATGAAGGCCCAGGAAAACAACTACATGGTGATGCGCTCAAATGATCGTAAGCCATAATGGCGCCTCAGTGACCTGGTGTGTTCCATCACAGTTGATCTTGCAGGCAAGACTGACTGTGGTCGCCCAACTGGGTGGCGACAGTTTTTTCCACTTGTTAACATTTGGCCTCAGCCCTCCTGCTGTCATCTCACTTGACTGTCAGTACTTCCTCTGTCTCTCACCTTTGGTGTAAGGACGCTTTCGTGTCCTGTGAGCCATCCTGTCTCCCTCACTCCACGTGAAGAAGATAGTGCTGGCTCTGATCGGCTGATACGCTTGGTGAATCACAGCCTACGATTGAACTACCATGTCGGGACAGTGACGCGAGATGCCGCCACTGATTTTGAGGAGTGTTTACAGATGTTCAATAAGACACCCAATATGTGTAATCAAGAGTGTCTTGAATATACACTTAAGACCAGAAAGTTAGTTGGATAGGTAAATTACGATGGTACGATGGCAGGTAAATAGGCAAGTACTCCACAAGGGACGCAATGCCTCTAAACCCGAGTCTTGTGGGGAAGAAACTGACGCACGAGCCTTGACACACACGCCTCTATATATATATAATCAACGACCTCACCAGCCAGGACTCGAACCCTTGACCTAATGCATGAGACCAGGGAACACTACCTCTCATTGGGAACTGCCCGGGTAGTTCCCAATGAGAGGTTCACGGCGCCATCAGCTCGATGAACAGGCTTTGTGTGAAATATCACATAGTCTAGAACTGCTTTTAGTGCTCTTGTGGTATGGTCGGTAGTGTTCCCTGGTCTCATGCATTAGGTCAAGGGTTCGAGTCCTGGCTGGTGAGGTCGTTGATTATAGGTTCAAAGTTCAAAAGGCAGGACTAAAAATGAAATATATATATATATATATATATATATATATATATATATATATATATATATATATATATATCTATCCCAATTCAAAAAATTACGTTAAGATCATTAGGTTAGATTAGAATAAGTTAAGCTTACTTAGGTTAGACTGAGCTGAGTAAGATTAAATTTGGATAAGTTAACCTGTGTTAGGCTCTGATGGGATAAGTCGAGTTGGGTTAGGTTAATATCATGCACAAGTGGCCATTCTTAGTAATTTAAATCCGTTTATATCAAGTGATTTATTAACTGCGTTGTACAGGCTATAGCAGTGAGTGTATATTAGTGTGTACCTGTGTATGGTGTCCAGTGTATGATGTGTACCTGTGTATGGTGTCCAGTGTATGATGTGTACCTGTGTATGGTGTCCAGTGTATGATGTGTACCTGTGTATGGTGTCTAGTGTATGATGTGTACCTGTGTATGGTGTCCAGTGTATGATGTGTACCTGTGTATGGTGTCCAGTGTATGATGTGTACCTGTGTATGGTGTCCAGTGTATGATGTGTACCTGTGTATGGTGTCCAGTGTATGATGTGTACCTGTGTATGGTGTCCAGTGTATGATGTGTACCTGCAGGTAACTGTATCTTTACACTTGTAGCACCAACTCTCACCTGCCTAACTTGCTATCTTAGTCTTAAGTACTGTTCCCTTAACTACCCTTAACCTAAACCAACGACCTTAACTATAACTATTATACTACCACCTGCCTTAACATAACTATAGCAGTCCACAACTACCTAATACGGCACCAGTCACCATGACAAACCCAGGGTAATTACGGCGGGCTATCCACTGGCCTGACTCACTAAGATATGAGAACACTAACACAAATCTGAATATCATAGCCAGTAAAGTGACCCATTTGATCGATAAATATATACCCAAGACCACACCCAGTGCCTCTAGGAATACAAGGAGACCACCACATACGATCCGTGCAGCGGTCGTCAGAGTTAAGAAGAAAACTCAGAAATTTGAGACGTGAGTTAGGACAAACGAGGAACAGGGCAGGAGGATGTATGCAAAATCCAGGAATCAAGCAAAGTCAGAGTGTAGAAGGACTGAAAAAAGAGTTCCAAAGGTGGATTGCTAGAGAGGTCAAGTCAAACACAAAGGTTTTTTACGGCTACGCAAAGTCGAAATTAGAAACGTGAGTAAGCGTATCGGACCTGAGGCTTGAAGATGGTAGTTACGCAGATTCTGACCAGGGCAAGGCAGAGGCGCTGAACAAATTCTATTCCTCGGTGTTCACAAGAGAGGATGCGAACAGCCTTCCTGCGTTTGAGGACAGACGGTTCGACACAGCACTGACCCACACTGTGTTCACATAAGAGGTTATAAGAAGTAAATTGTCAAAGCTAAAGGTTCATAAGAGTCCTGGACCTGACGTGGTGCATCCCAGAGTGCTAAGAGAGTTGTGTAACGAGCTTGCCCAGCCCCTGAAGATCCTGTTTTGTAAATGCCTGGATGAACAAATGGTCCCCAGTGATTGGAAAGTGGCTTATGTGAGACTTATCTTCAAGAAGGGCGATCGTCACTCCACGAACAACTATAGACCGGTGAGCCAGACCAGCATAATATGTAAAGTACTTGAGAGTATTATCAGAGATGCCGCAATGGAACATCTACTACGAAACAACCTTGTAAAGGATTGCCAATGCTGTCTTATGCCGGGACGTCCTGTTTAGCACAAATACTCAAGGTACTGGATGTCTGGACTTAAATTCTGGTGGAAATATCGACAATATATACTTAGATTTTGCCAAGGCTTTCGACAGCATACCCCATGAAAGGTTGAGAATTAAACTGGAAGGGTACGGGATTTGGGGATGTGTCCTAGCGTGGACCGGAGACTTTCTGCGTGACCGCAAACAGTGTGATTAAAAGTATACCCGTGACAAGTGGGGTACCATAGGGCAGTGTCTTGGGCCCGTTGTTTTTTGTTTGTTTCATAAATGACATGAAGGAAGCTATGCACTCCTCCATACAAATGTTTGTAGTTGATGCCAAGTTATTCAGAGAAATTAAGAACCAAACAAACTGTGAAGAGCTGCAGAAGGATCTGTCACCATTAACAGCGGTTGAAGAAATAGCTACTAAGATTTAATGTCACGAAGTGTAAGAGGCTGCACCTGGGTCATACCAAGTAAGGAGGCTTACCGAATGCAAGAAGGACCTGGGTGTGTATGTTGACAACGAACGGAAATTCTCAGGCCAGTGTGAGAAGGTGAACCAAGCAACTACTGTATACTAGTAGGTCTTATAAGAAGGTCGTTCAGATATCTAGACGGTCCGTCCCTCGTAACGATCTTCAAGAGTGAGTGCTTCCCTATCTGGAGTTCCGTCACCCCGTCTGGTCCCCGAGACATGCTAGAGACTGTCACTTGATTGAAAATGTTCAAAGGAGGGCCACCAGACTGGTGCCTGCACTTCGACACCTCAGTTGTCCTATCCAAGTAAGTGTGACCTAATTAAGGTGTATAAACATCCTCAGAGGGCACTACTCAGTCGAGTGCCCATACCTGGAGCTGGCGGACGCCCGCCCCACAAGGGGTCACAGATCAAGGTTGAAGAAGTTTGTACCACAAGTCCAGAAAACTGTGAGGGCAAACTTTCTCGGAGCGAGAATTGTGAACTCTTGGAACAATCTGCCAGAGAGTGTTGTGACGGCACCGAGTGTAAGTTCTTTCAAGACCAGACTTGACCAACACTGGAGCAGGTTCAGGTACATTCAGGAGCCGGTGCATGCCCAGTACTTGCCAACAGTGCGTAACAGAGACGTGACCGATCGCCCAAGCGGCTAACAAGGCGATCACTAACGAAGAGGATAAACGCTTAAAAAATATATAAATATATTATTCCCAGCCTATAGTGTCTTCTAACCTAACTTAATAGAGTATTGGGAGTGAAAGGAACAGTTGGGTGGATATTATTAGTATTAGTATTAGTATTTTATACGATATATTTTGTAAGTTAAAAAAAAAATGTTAAGTACAAATATTTAATATTTTGGTGACAAGTGAGCCTGACGATCAACAAGACCTCATGAAAGTACATTGAAGAATAATAGTCAATTGAGAGCTGTATAAGAAGTAAAAGTATACTTAAGTTTTTGGGCTTACTTTCTGCCTCATTTACACACAATTGCAGGGTCTCAACTGTTTTGTTTACTGTTGACACCACAACACACATATGTCGTTACTCATTCTTGATTTACTTTTTATTTTTTTATTATTATTTATGGCTATTATCTTTATTATTGTATTTATTATAATTTTTATTATTTTTTATTTATTTATTTATTATTATTATTATTATTATTATTATTATTATTATTATTATTATTATTATTATTATTATCATTATTATTATTATTATTATTATTATTATTATTATTATTATTATTATTATTATTATTATTATTATTATTATTTATGGCTATTATCTTTATTATTGTATTTATTATAATTTTTATTATTTTTTATTTATTTATTTATTATTATTATTATTATTATTATTATTATTATTATTATTATTATTATTATTATTATTATCATTATTATTATTATTATTATTATTATTATTATTATTATTATTATTATTATTATTATTATTATATTCTCGTCCCCCAGACCCTGATGTGTGTGTCAGTGACATGTGCCCGGGTGAGGTAATCCCCGTATAAAAAACAAAAAAAATATTAAAGTCTGACTGGGTGAGGCGCCCAACTGCAGAATCGTCGTCTGTACGCGTCCGAGCACGAGCTCTCCTTCAGCGTGAGCCCAGCCGCGGTTTCAATGAGTGTGAGAGTGCACGGCATTGTTTTGAATCGAATTTGGCATAAACCTGTGGTAACTCCTCCTGTATGTGCTAATTATCCTTGTATGTATTATAGTGGATGGTTCATTGGGAGTATTACCATCCCAGGTTGAGTATTGAAACCGTACAGATCTCTACAACCTTACGTGTCTACTGTATGTCTGTTGAGTGAACCAGCTAAACTCACAGCTGATGTATGATGGTGTATTGTTCCATGTTTGTTAATCAAGTGTTAGTGTGATTTAGAGGTCAAGTAACTGATGGTACTTGAAGTAATAACATCACTGTGCCATTGACAAGTGTTTTAGAGTGACCATCACTCTAGGGTCACTGTTGTGTAATAATACCCTCAAGTTTGTATGATTATTGAGTGTTGTAACTGTTAACTGAACTGTCTATTGTCATAATCATAAAGACCAATGGTTACTTTCTATTTTGTCTAAGTTTTAACTAAACTAATCAGCATTAATTGAACCTAAGTTCTTGTTGTTGTGATTGAGGGTTCAAATTGTCACAGTATTCATATTTACTTTAAATAAATATTGAATAAGTATAATGTGTGTATCACCGGCCATTCCTGATAATTGCCATACCTGAATTATGCTCTTTATAACTGCCAGGCCTAACCTCTCCCACTACCCTACCACTTTAACTGAGCGGGTAGTGTTCTGAGATAAAGTTTGGGTGGTGGCTATACAGTATCAATAATTACAAGTATGTGTAATAAGAGACAATGATGTGGTTCTCCCAGATTAACCCACAAAGCAGAATATAACCAAATATGATGAAAATAAATGAGTGGAAGAATTACAAATACAAGTCTGGGTGGTAACTTAATAATTAAAAATTCCGCCTCCTTATCCCAACACCTTCCTTTACGGAGAATTTTCAGAGTAGTGTACTAACCTTTGTGAATAGAATGTAAGGCCAAACTTTTAACTATATTTGTGGTTGAGTTTAGCTGGACTTCTCACTTCGAATATATAGTCAGCATACTACCAGTGTACAATTACTTAGTCTTTACACTTTATATTAATCACAACAATTCCACAATACTGCACAACAATTACTCTGAGTAGAAACGGTCGACTAACTGACCAGGCCACCCGTTGCCACTAACCTCATCAGACGATACCCACCTCCTTATCATGGGGGACTTTAACTATGGCGACATCGACTGGAGAAATGAGTTCACCCCAAATGACTTGAATAACCCTGCTACTCTTTTTTGGAGAAACTCTGAGAGATAATTTTCTGTTCCAACATGTTTGAGACCCGACACATTACAGAGGGGAGCAAACACCCAAGACACTTGACCTCATCATAACAAACGAGGAGGGTATGGTGGCCAAACTGGAACACCTTGCCCCAGTTGGCACCAGTCACCATATAGTGTTGTCATTCAGATTTAACTGTTACCTAGTTCAGGATAAGGCCAGGCCAAAGTGCAAATATTACAAGGGAAATTACAACGGGATGAGGGGTATCCACTGACCTGACTCATTAAGGCACAAGAACGCAGACACTACGCTGAACATCTAACAAGTAAAGTGACCCATTTGATCGATAAATATATACCCAAGACCAAACCCAGTGCCTCTAGGAATACGAGGGGATCCCTACACATGAACCATGCGGCGGTCTACAAAGTTAAGAAGAGAACCAAGAAATTCAAGACGTGGGTTGGGTCAAATGATGAGCAAGACAGGAGGATGTATGCAAGAGCCAGAAACCAAGCAAAGGTAGAGTGTAGAAGGGCTGAAAAGGAGTTCCAGAGGCTGGTTGCAAGCTAGGTCAAGTCAAACCCAAAGGCGTTTTACCGCTATGTAAAGTCGAGTATCAGACCTGAGGCTTGAAGATGGTAGTTACGCAGATTCTGACCAGTATAAAGCTGAGGCATTGAACAACTTCTTTTCCTCGGTGTTCACAAGAGAGGATGCGATTAACCTTCCTGCGTTTGAGGACAGACGGTTCGACACAGTACTGACCCACATTGTGTTCACGTAAGAGGTTATAAGAAATAAATTGTCAAAGCTAAAGGTTCATAAGAGTCCCGGCCCTGACGTGTTGCATCCCAGAGTGCTAAGAGAGGTGTGTAACGAGTTTGCCGAGACTCTGAAGATCCTGTTTTGTAAATGCCTGGATGAACAAATGGTCCCCAGTGATTGGATAGTGGCTTATGTGAGACATATCTTCAAGAAGGTCCCAACGGGATGAAGAAACTGCACTATTTGAGACTGAATGTAAGAAGGACCTAGGTGTGTATGTTGACAATGAGCTGAAGTTCTCGGGCCATTGCAAGGAAAAGGTAAATCAAGCAAATATATTATTGGGTCTTATAAGGTCGTTCAGATATCTAGACGGTCCGTCCCTCGTAACAATCTTCAGGAGCGAAGTGCTTCCCCATCTGGAGTACTGTCACCCCATCTGGTCCCCGAGGTATGCTGGGGACTGCCAGTTGGTTGAAAATGTTCAAAGGAGGGCCACCAGACTAGCAGTGGCGGCTCGTGAAAAATAAAATGGAGGGACTGCAAGCCTCACACAACAGTAGGATACACAAATTTGACCTACCTCAGGTATGAGTTGTAGTTGATGTCCACTAATTCCCAGGGCATGGTAGTAGTGTTGGTGGTAGAAGGGATGGCCGAGGTGGTGATGGACCAGTATTAATTGAAAATAAAGTCGGCGTGTCTGCTCTTCGATGTAGCAAAATTGTTTATTACTATTTCATTAAAATCCTTTATTTCTGTTATCATTTTATTTTCAATGGATATCACTGCTAAAGCAGACAGTCTGTCATTCACCATGGTACTGCGCAAAAAAGTTTTAATTCTCTTCAAAGTTGAAAAACACCTTTCTGCTTCTGCCGTTGTCATTGGAGTTGTTATTAAAATTTTCAGCAACTTGACAGTGTCTGAAAATGTTGACTGTAGATTATTGTCATTCATCATCTCCAACAAGTCTATGAGACTTTCTGATTTACACAAAGCAGGATTTAACCACACCGTCCACACGCAATGTAAACACGTTGTACGAGACTGAGCTGCTTCAAGTGCGGCGGCGGCGGCGCCAATTAATAACAGACATGAATCGTACAGCATTGACAGCAACTATGAAAGTAACTTAAATTTTGGTCTGATTTCAATGAAAATTCACTTAGCAACGTATTGAAAATAATTAAATAACATATAAAATGATATATTTGTTGGTAGTGTATTATTCAGCTGTCTCTCTAAAGGAATCATACGCCTGGCAGTGAGTGTCTGGGGGGACTGCAGCTCTGCAGCCCTATGCACGAGCCGCCACTGGGGTACACTGTCGAAAGCCTTGCCTAGTTTATACTACAGACAGGCAAGGAGTGACCTAATTGAGGTGTACAAGTATATAAGCATCTCAAGCGGTACTACTCAGTCGAGTGTCCTTACTTGGAGCTGGCGGACGCTCGCCCCACAAGGGGTCACAGTACAAGATTGAAGAAGCCGCAAGTCCAGAAAACCGTGAGGGCAAACTTTTTCGGAGTGAGAGTTGTGAACTCTTGGAACAATCTACCAGAGAGTGTTGTGACGGCACCGAGTGTGAGCTCTTTCAAGACCAGACTTGACCAACACTGGATCAGGTTCAGGTACATTCAGGAGCCGGTGCATGCCCAGTACTTGCCAACAGTGCGTGACAGAGACGTGACCGATCGCCCAAGCGGCTAACGAGCCGATCAGTGGTGAAGAGTATAAAAGAAGAAAAAGAAATAACTTGATTGATGTTAGCTATTGCTTAGTTTAATCTCATTTTAATTATGTATGAGATAAGGAATAATTCTTCTTTTTATTATTTTATGTATACTCCCAATAATTCGACAATAAATATCACAAGTGATGGCACTGTTTTGCACAAGGTCGAAATGAACGATAAAAACGGACGCGTAAGAGCTAATGTTAAAAGGATTTACGAACAGAATTAACTACTATTTTTATGCAGACGAACTGGACCTAACCAGTCTTAATAGTCCAGAGTAGTTATGTTCATAGTTATGTTCAGGTTAGGATAAATCTGATTGGTGTGTGTTGTCTGGAAAATAAGGTTCTCGCCTGCTCTCGTTCTTGGTAATATTCTAACACTAGGTACTTCCTGGTCCTTCTGAAATGCAAAAACACCTAAGGGAAATACGCCAATGTCAGATAACATTATTACTAATGTTTTAAAGATACACTTCTCGTGTTTATGTATAATCTAATCATTATAATCAAACAATCATCTTTCCTAGTTGAAAATATAAGAAACTCGCAATTTATTAACATACACAACCAACAATTCCATTATTTTATATATCTAATATGAAAATTAAATAATATTATTAGTGCGAAACTTTTTATAGCAAATAATAATAACAAATTATCGACAAAACCTTAATACTGGGTTAAGTAAGTCTCCATTTAGATGTATTTCGCCTTTCAGCAGCCCAGAGTGATCGCCGCGTAATGGCGGGAAGTGGCGGCGGTGTAGCAGCAGACGACACTAACATGGCAGGATTCAGGGACAGGAACTCTCGCGTCGTCGGTACATGGAAGGTATTATAACCTTGAATCACCCTATAACTCATTAACTATACCTCTACCATCCTCACTCGGGTGTAGCTCCTCCAGTACTCCATAATAATGAGTCTCTGCCATTTAACTCTGTGAATATTTACTTTGCTAAATCGTCTCATATGGAACGTTTTTATAGGACTATCGTTAGTTTAGACAGGATTATCTAGTGATTATTATCGTGTGTGTAGGAGTGTAGTAATTATTGGTGTATTAGAGAACAAGACAAAGGTTTATTAAGACAAGTCACTGGTTTATACTATGTTTCCCTGAGTGACATCGATTACTAGGTATAAAGATGTCGGATTATCTCCACTATCAGACACACCATAATTACTACCTCTAACGACCTTGTTCTGGATGATCACCACTACTACTGAACAAAGATTTAACTCTTCTCTCTTATTTAACACTGAACAAAGGTTTCAAAACATGGATCATCTCTTGGTGGTTTTTTTTTTAGTTATTGTCTATTGTTGTGATGATATTGTGTGAGGGTTATGATGTATGGTGACTGTTGTGGTCAGCCAGCAGGTATAACACTGTTGTGGTCAGCCAGTAGGTATAACACTGTTGTGGTCAGCCAGCAGGTATAACACTGTTGTGGTCAGCCAGCAGGTATAACACTGTTGTGGTCAGCCAGCAGGTATAACACTGTTGTGGTCAGCCAGCAGGTATAACACTGTTGTGGTCAGCCAGCAGGTATAACACTGTTGTGGTCAGCCAGCAGGTATAACACTGTTGTGGTCAGCCAGCAGGTATCACTGTGTGGTAACACTGTTGCCGTCAGCCAGCAGGTATAACACTGTTGTGGTCAGCCAGTAGGTATAACACTGTTGTGGTCAGCCAGCAGGTATAACACTGTTGTGGTCAGCCAGCAGGTATAACACTGTTGTGGTCAGCCAGCAGTCAGTATAACACTGTTGTGGTCAGCCAGCAGGTATAACACTGTTGTGGTCAGCCAGCAGGTATAACACTGTTGTGGTCAGCCAGCAGGTATAACACTGTTGTGGTCAGCCAGTAGGTATAACACTGTTAGGGTCAGCTGATCCACCCAGGTTCACCCTCAGGCCATTTAAACTGGCATTTAAATTGTTTGTTTACTCAGGATCGTTTAGCTCCTTGGTGGTTAATGGCTAACTTTTAATTCTTTAATACTTATTTACTTTACCCTATATATATATATATATATATATATATATATATATATATATATATATATATATATATATATATATATATATATATATATATATATATATATATATATATATATATGTGTGTGTGTGTGTGTTGTTAGGTATATGAGGGAAGGATGGGTGTGTGATCAGTGTTTGGGCTTGTTGACTTATTAATGATTTATTCCTCTCAGGGTTTACACAATAAATATTTGTTTTGATGAAGAAAATCCAAGATAAAGGTGTAGATTAGGTTGAGTGTTGGTGGCACAGCAGTACAGTACCTGTAGGGGCCTTGCCCCTGACCAGTGTGTTGTGGGTTAAGTCAGTTAAGAAGGGTGGTACCCAGTGTGGCACTACCAGTCATGGCAGGTGTCCTCTGGGTACCAACACTGGACAGTAAGGTCATGTATAGTAACAAAGATCACACCAACTGACCGTGAGTTGATAACTGGTGAAAACTATGAATTAAAAAAACACAAAATTGTCAGTAACAATTAGAGGATTAAACAAGCTCCCCCCCTCCCCCCATCAAAGTTTGTGTAGTGAGAAACAAACACTATTTGTTGTTGCAGGTACAAGTGAAACCCTTGAGAAAAAATTAAATTAAATATATTTATAATAATGTCAAACTATATATGATGAGCAGCGTCAGTCATGAGTGGTCATGAGACTACTGTACTGTACACATTAAGGTGTACTGTACCATGTAGTTAAGTTAGTACGGTTTATGTCAAATACACTGTACAGTACTGTATTATGATATGAAGCTGTAGTCTTACAGTAGATTAATAATGGTTGCCCCTCGTGTAACGAGGATGGCCGGCCCTAGGCGTGAATTTGTTTAAGGTGTAGAAGCTGTCGCCAACACAACAACCACACCCTGAGTTAATGAGTTGCATGACCCAGTGTCAAGGAATAGTCCGAGAAGACCCGACAACTCGCCAACTGCACTGGCTATCCATTACCCCGGAACACGATCTGCAAATCGATTAACATCCAGGTCCCCAATTACTGCTGTACAATACAGTGCAGTACAGTACAGTATATTGCCAACACTTTGCATGCATACTTCACATCAGATGATTCTTACAAACTCAAATACTGTACTGTGCAATTTTTTGTAATGTCCTTTTGCAACTAGAGATTCTATATACAGTACAGTATATACCAGTAATTATAATGTAATCAAGATTATAGTAACACATATCCCAGCAAGGTCGTAACCCTAAGCTACACCTTAACCGAATATGAATCCAGTTCTACATCTGATTTAAGTATGGAATTAACCAGTGAGCAATACTGTATATACACCAGTACGCAGTGGTTTGCTCTTGCTAAAATCAGACATAGCTCGTCGATGGCTTTCTCTCAATACACCGCAGCCACGAAAAACTGGAGGCCATGGCTTATTTCCAGTTCACGGCTTATTTACAGATCCTAATTAAAATCCCATTTAGTTTGACCTTCCTCTCCAACCTTATTTAGACTTACTAAATTAATAAGGAAAAAAGAATCATTATTATTCTCTGAGTCATTGTAGATATTTTACAAATTTTAAGTATGCTTAACTGACTAACTCCCTGCCTGACAGATTGCCATTATAGAGCTGAAGATTGTACTGTAGAATACATAACTATAGGTTAGGTTAGAATCATTCATCATTTAGGTTAGAATCACTCATCACTTAGGTTAGAATCATTCATCATTTTGGTTTGGTTAGAATCACTCATTATTTAGGTTAGAATCACTCATCATTTAGGTTAGAATCATTCATCATTTAGGTTAGAATCATTCATCATTTAGGTTAGAATCATTCATCATTTAGGTTAGAATCACTCATCATTTAGGTTAGAATCGTGCATCATTAAGGTTAGGATAGAATCATTCATTTAGGTTAGAATCATTCATCATTTAGGTTAGAATCATTCATCATTTAGGTTAGAATCATTCATCATTTAGGTTAGAATCATGCATCAATTAGGTTAGGTTAGAATCACTCATCATTTAGGTTAGGTTAGAATCACTCATCATTTAGGTTAGGTTAGAATCACTCATCATTTAGGTTAGGTTAGAATCACTCATCATTTAGGTTAGAATCACCCATCATTTATGTTAGGTTAGAATCATTCATCATTTAGGTTAGAATCATTCATCATTTAGGTTAGAATCATTCATCATTTAGGTTAGAATCATTCATCATTTAGGTTAGGTTAGAATCATTCATCATTTTGGTTAGAATCACTCATCATTTAGGTTAGGTTAGAATCACTCATCATTTAGGTTAGGTTAGAATCACTCATCATTTAGGTTAGAATCACCCATCATTTATGTTAGGTTAGAATCATTCATCATTTAGGTTAGAATCACTTATCATTTAGGTTAGGTTAGAATCACTCATCATTTAGGTTAGGTAAGAATCACTCATTTAGGCTAGGTTAGGTTAGAATCACTCATCATTTACGTTAGAATCACTCATCATTAAGGTTAGGATAGAATCACTCATCATTTACGTTAGAATCACTCATCATTTAGGTTAGAATCATTCATCATTTACATTAGGTTAGAATCACTCATCATTTAGGTTAGAATCACTCATCACTTAGGTTAGAATCATTCATCATTTACATTAGGTTAGAATCACTCATTATTTAGTGTAGGTTTAGACTACATTTCTTTGCAGCTGTATTAGGTTGGGTGAGAATCTCTCTCTCTTAGGAAATTAATTTGTGCTTTTAGTTTGGTGTGGACATAATCACTGCTTGTAGCTAAACTATAATTGTAATGGAGACTTTATGGGTCACACCAGGGAATGTGTCAGAAAGGTTGTAAATGTGATTGCTACTTTGTACATTATACTGTGGGGTTTCGAAATATTGGTTCACACTCAGGATGGGATGGAGAAAGGAAACTCACAATGTGCTCTCTGTATACATGTTGTATTGGATGTACAATGCAGCTTGGTGCTGGGAAGGCAGCATGGTTACAAGCGTGATGTAGAGAGAGCTGGTTGGTGAGGGTGCTCAGAGGAGGATCAGCTTGTGGGTCGCCGGCGAGAGCCGCCAGGCAGGAGCGGAGGAGGAGGTGTTGCTTGAAGACTGGCTGTAGGTAGAAAGAGAAAGGTAGGTCACTACGAGGTGTGATTTTATATAGCGGAGGTAGGCGTGGCTTAACAGTTGACCTCAGTCGTGTAGGCGGTGCTGGTTGCTGACCAAGACCACGAGGGCAGGCTGGTGAAATCGTAGGTCGGCTCGTCAGCGACAAACAGCGTTTGTAGGGGAGGAATCCACTTCAATACTCCCCCTTCCCTCCAGGCGGTGTAGGAGACCTGTCGTCTGCAGGGTTGCATGCCACAAGTGAGACATAACGGCGAGGGCGTGGATGAGCCGGCTGCTACGGGAGACGACTGTCTAGACACACGAGATCTGTGGGAGAAGAGAGGGAGAAGGAGGGTTGTGGAGGCGATGAATGTTGTGCTTCTCTCGCGGCAGGTACAGAGTCCTCAGATGTGCCTGCTGGGGTGTGTGGGTCTGGATCAGGAGCAGGGGCTGTGTCAGGAAGAGGGTCTATGACAGCAGCAGGGTGCAGGACAGTAGCAGGGAGTACCTGAGGGAAAAAAAAGGGTGTGTGGGGCCGCACTCAGGCGCATGGGCCGCATTGGGAGCAGGGGCTGCCAGGCAGGAGTGGAGGAGGGTCATTTTATGGGCCAATCACTCGTGGTGCAGCCCCCCTCCGCTCATCCGACGGTAACTTCATAATTAAAGACGATGAAGGCCTCCTTCAGCGCTGGAAAGAGCACTACCATTCACTGTTCAACCAAAACACTGATGTGGATGTCCTGACTACTCAGCAGGTCCCACAGCATCCAGAGCTGACCCACCTCAGCTATCCTCCATCCCTGGATGAGGTAGCTACTGCCATCAAACAGATGAAAGATAACAAAGCCGAGGTGTATAAAGCAGGAGGACCTCTACTTACCAGCTGTCTCCACTCTCTCCTGGAGAATATATGGGAAAAGGAGGAAATCCCCCAAGATCTTAAAGATGCCTCCATCGTCAACATTTATAAGAATAAGGGAGACCGGTCAGACTGTGGCAACTACCTCGGGATCTCACTGCTGTCATTTGCTGGCAAGATTATCGCCCGAGTCCTCCTAAACAGAACTCTTCCTGGGGGGAAAAACTTCCTCTCACAATCTTATTGTGGATTTGGACCATCACGTGGCACCACTAACATGATCTTTGCTGCCCGCCAGATACAGCAAAATTGCATAGGACTATGTTGTGACCTGTACATGGCTTTCATCGACCTAACCAAGGCCTTCGACCCGGTCAACAGGGAAGCCCTCTGGTGGACCCTCAGCCGTTTTGGTTGCCCCAAAAAATTTATCTTCATTGTGAGGCAACTCCACGACGACAAGAATGGGAGTGTCATGCACAACAGCACCCAGTCTGAGTTCTTCCCCATCCAAATGGGGGTTAAACAAGGGTGTGTACTGGCACCAACTCTCTTTTCCATTTTCTTGGCTGCCTTCCTTAATCGTACCAGTGCCAATTTAGACGGCGGGGTGGACATCGAGTACCGAGTGAAGGGTCTCTTCAACATAAGACGACTCCAGGCAGGAACAAAGGTGTCGGCAGCTTCCATTACTGAACTTCAGTATGCAGACGACCTCACCCTTGTTGCTCACACTGAACGCGACCTACAGGAGATCCTGAACACCCACGCAGATGCGTATGCACACTTCAGCCTTGAGGTGAATGTACGTAAGACTCAGATTCTTTTTCAACTTGCCCCTGGTTCAGCCACACCTCCACCATCCATCCATCTTAACAGTACTACCCTCTCTAATGATACCCACTTTCGGTATCTCGGTTCCCACCTGTCCAGCACCGTGGACATCAATGAAGAGGTTCAGCATCGGATCAGATGTGCCTCTCAAGCCTTTGGCAGACCCTAAAACCATGTCTTCAGCTGTAGGGAGCTGAAATTATCTACAAAGTTACACGCATATCGAGCAGTGGTCCTCCCCATCCTGCTATGTGGCAGCGAGACATGGTTTACATAAAGGAGACACCTCAAGGCACTTGAAAACTTTCACCAACGTAGTCTACGTTCCATCCTCCTAGTTCGCTGGGAAGACAAGAGAAAAAATGCCAGCATCCTTGCTGACACCAACTGTAGGAGCATCAAGACTACTATTATCCATGAACAACTACACTGGACTGGCCATGTTACCTGCATGGACGACAGTAGACTGCCAAAGCAGCTACTTAACAGTCACCTAACGAATAGTAAACGTAATGCCGGCGGGCAACAGAAATCGACCCCCTCACCTGGGAGACGATTATTCCACACCGTAACGCTTGGAGGAGCACCACACGAGAAGGTGTCAATACTTTCGAGTTTGCCCAACTGCAAACCGAGGCAGACAAGCGCCAACACCGGAAAGAAAGTGCCACCGCCCCTCCCACACTAGATGTAGCCCTCCACACATGCAACATCTGTGAACAACTCTGCCGGTCCCGTATCGGCCTCTTTAGTCACCTCAGAGCTCACCAATGAAGGTGACATATGTAATAACTCATATTATTGTATCATAGCTGGATGATCGTCATACTTGATTCTAAGTGACAGTAAAGTGTGTGTGTGTGTGTTTGTGTTTTGTGGGTCTTGCACATACATAACTTGTAATTTAACCAGACTTAGTGTCTGGATACTGTACTGTATTGTATTGTACGTGAGCACAAGATCTTTCACAAGTTTAGTTTTTAATTTCTTGTCATTATTGTTTAGAGTTGTGACCCTTGGTCTTTGCTGCTACTGGGTACTTGGCCACATTCATGGTGCTTGGCCACATTTACTGTACTTGGCCACATTCATGGTGCTTGGCCACATTTACTGTACTTGGCCACATTCATGGTGCTTGGCCACATTTACTGTCAAACATATGTTCTTTCTCTTTTTCCATCTACTGAATTTTGTTTTCATAATCTTTCAGATAATAGAGTGTGTGTCTCTGTCAGGATCATCTGAAGCAACAGGAATAGAAGGGTAAGTGAAGTAAAGTATCCTGTGGTGATAGGGTGTTTTAGCTCCCTGTCCTTAACCTCTAGCTGGACTCTGATCTGTCTGCCTTTTTGGTGTCTTGACAAAAATAATTCATACATTTACCGACTTTCTAGCTGTCACTATAGCGGTATTTACATATACTAGTTAGCAACCCTGACTAGACAGTGTCAAGGCAGATCTCCAAATCTGTAACAACTTCTCAGAAGAGTGTGCCGTCATGTACCAGAAATTCCTGGCCAACAGCAAACTCCTGGATATGGCAAAGAAAGGACAAAACTATTGGCAGAACTGTTGGACATTAGGCTATACTGAGCACACAAATACACATTTTAGCTGTCAGTTTGTGTTGCAGGTTTGGGCTCAATTCCATTTCAAAATACAGTAATCAGTATGTACAGGAAATAGTTTGAAAATAAAATTCAATAATTGAACATTTGTAATTTATTTCAGATTTTTTTCTAAGGTGAAAGAGAGAGATCTGTACTTAAAAAATTGACCAATTAAATCTTTAAGTAAAAGCCACTTTCTCACTTCAGCGAACTCAAATTAAATTAAATAGGTTATGGTTTTCATATTGTGTCTGGAGACTGGCTGCCATGCACAGTGTCCTCCTGTTGGGGTTATGGATGTGGCCACCCTGTATGACACCTAGGAGTCATTCTCACACTTTATCTTGTTTCTTTTATATTATTTATGTATTGTACTTACTGTAGAAGTTAGATTGAATATACTGTCCTGTAGTGTACTGTACTGCTCTGTTCTGTACATACAAGATCTAACTTAATTGTAGGCAGTTTTTTACCACTTTGTTGAAATTAATTTGCAAGTTCTTAGTTAGGATTGAAGGCTTTGTTATGGCTACCTGTACAGTGTAGAAAAAAAAGAATACAGTATACTTAATAGGTTTACTTTTGAATATTTAGCTTCAGAAACATAATAACATCTCAATGTATCACTTACAAAATGTGTAAAGAAATGCCTTCCTACTATACTATACAGTGATTTAAGAGTGTGGCACCATATTGATAATGACAAAATATATGAGGAGGTCCACACCATAACCTGCTAAGAGCCATATATCGCTGAATTGTGTTATGTATTGCATTGTATACCCCCAACCTCTCCTCTGTCCCCTGGGTAAGTCAGAGAGCTAATTGGGAACCTGTACATATGGGTGAGAGTCCTCTGAAAAGACTATTGTATGTCACACGTTCCTACCTGAGCTTTTCCCTCCATTTTCTGTTTTGTCACTTAGCAGATTATGGTCCAGAGCTCCTCATATCTTTTCCGTCATTGCAGGACTGAGTTTGTGTTGTCCGAGGCTGGAGATGTTACCTGGACCGTTACAGATGGCTGCGATGCCCTGCCGCTCTTCTCCTGCCAGATGTATGAAGTGTATACATACCAGAACCTTCAGTGTTATGGGAACAGAACTTTACTGCGCTTTGCTGCGTACAATGGCCACATTATTGAGTTCAGAGTAAGTGGGTCTGTGAAGTTATGGAAGTTGTTATTAAGTCGAGGAGGATAATTAAAGATTTTTATAGAAATTACTGAGTAGTGTGTGGGAAGTGTGTTCTTTTTCCCAGTCACATCTCTTGTTGTTTTGAAAAAGATGTTGCATTTAGTTAGTGTTTACTTAATGCTTCTGTGAGGGTTTTAACTTCCTGTCAGGCCAGAAATGTCTCTGTCTCTCTCACACTTCCTGACTTATTAACTCTCTATTCTCTTATTTATTTATTTGTATTTATTCCAGCTGGACCAACCGGTAATGTCAAGGGATCTGATGTTGTTGACATACGATGGATGGTTCATGTTGCAGTGCGAGAAGGTGAGTGTGTGAGCATGTGAAGACCTTACTGGAAATAAAGCTTTGATGGCTCTGTTGGCTGTCTCTGGTTAGAATGACTTGTTTACTGTCCTGTGCCTGCCATTTTTGACTAACCTGGTTATGTGACAACGTCAGAGACACACACATGAACACACAGTATGTGCCAGAAACCCCATTTTTGTGAACAATCCATTACCTGTATATGGATTCTCTACGTGCATGTCCTCTACGAACTGCACAATTTATCGATGATCAGTGGTAAAATGGTAAAGACTGTTTTATACTGTATTACTTTTAACATAACATTATCAGTGATATTGACCACTGTCAGTCGATAACTAAAATACAATACCTCGATCTGTCATGTCTAATACACCATGTAATTATGTACAGTCGACCCTCGTTAATTCGGACCCCTTTAATCCGGATTTCGGATAATTTGGACGAAATCTGAACTAAGCAAAGGACTTTCCGTTTTAAATTTCTGGTTCTGGGATTGTCCGATAGATGGCGCGCGCCAGACCGCCAGTCATTGTTGACTTAGCGCCATATTCGAGTATCAGTGTTGTGTTGCCCTGCAATTTTCGTTGATATTTCAGTGATTAGGCATCTGTCAGCCTTGTATTATACATCATGTCTTCAAGGGGGAGTAATACTCAGAAGAGGAAGTATGTGACCCTTTCTGTGAACCAGAAACTGGAACTTATAAGGAAGTTAGAGGCTGGTGCTTCGGTGGCCAGAGTTTGTGACGAGTTTGGTGTTAAAAAGCAAACAGTTTCGGACATGTAAGGCTAAGGCCAACTCACTGCATTTTCTTTGAAATATAATGCAATATTATGCAATATTAACCCCTAAATCAGTTAATTCGGACAATCGGCTAAAACGGACACCCCTCCTCCCCTATTAGTCCGAATTAACGAGGGTCGACTGTAATACTTGTATCCATGTAAAACAACCGTGTATAAAGAAAATGACATGGAATGTTTGTGGTGGACTGTTACTGTTTCATCTCATATTACGTAAGTATGATGACAGGAATATGAAATGTTATGTCTTAGGAGAAAAAATTGACTTATACTGTATGTTACAAACACACTGTTAATAAAATAAAACCACAGGGGTTCTGCTAGACACCTGACTTATGTAAACAATCCACTCTAGAGCATCTGTGTGCTCCTCCACTTTGAACACTATCACTTATCGGTGATAATATTTCTCTTATGTGAGTGCCAGGAGGACAGATATTATATAAAACACTGTACTCGTATTAGAGAGGTTCATAATGGAGACTGGTGGTTAGGTTATTCCTCTCCTATTGCTTTTATTGATGTTATTAATGATGCCAGTCTCATAATGTTGCACATGATAGTTTATTGTAATATAGCAATGACGAATCCAGGGACAGTTCATGTCATTCACCACAGCCTTTAACTTATCCCAGGTTATGACATGACCATACTGCAACCGTTCTGTCATTCCTCCAACTGGAACCATGGGAGACCAACACCGTGATATTTCCCAATGAGGACAATTTGTCAGCATGCGTAATGCTGAATTAAGTACGGTATCTGTGAGATCGCAAGGCAGGTGGGAGTCTCGAGATCAACAGTGTGATGTTGGTTATAGTGGTATGAAGAGTCTGGTACTTTAACAGATCTTCCCAGATCTTGACAGCCTAGACTGACCAGCGCAGACATTCGCGACCATCCTCTCTCCAATGCTGTGGCCAAAACGGAGCGCTGTACTTGGAGGTCTCGGCTAGGACAGGGTCCCTCCTGTCGAGGAAAGGTTAGAAGAACAACACCGGGTAGGGAAACTTAACAGTTCCCTGAGCAGTATATGGGGGAGGTCCTGGCCTTCTGGGCAAGAGTTATTTTGTCAGATGAAAAAATTTAAACTCTACCAACCACGGCCGTCTTCACTGCCGGAGACTTGATAACACCCGTTACTACCTGCAGTATGTTTATCAAGAAGTCATGTGACCGTAAACATGCATGGTTGGATCAACCTCGACTGTGTGGGCGAGTTGGCAGAGATAAATAACAGATTCACCACAGAGCAGGTCTTTCATACCCCAAACATCAACAATTATGTTACATGATAGTACAGTATATGTAAAATTAAATTTTTGGAAAAGATCATTAAAAAGGTTTGATATTATAATTTATTTTCATGTAAGCCATATCATTTATATAGAATGGAATAAGTGTATTAAAAAAAGTCTATAATTTGTTTTGGTGCCAAAATATGCCAGAATACACTAGGGGGTCCAGCGGGTCGTGCATCACCTGGGCTATAAGGATTAAGTATTAGGTCAGGTGAGGTTAGCTAAGCATTAGGATGGTTGATCATAAGTCAAAGTAAGTTGGAGTGCCTAACATTCATGTGATCTCATTTGTTTAGGTTAAATGTGTATGTCCATCATTTAAGAGGTGGAGGAAGATGAGTGGAAGCCCACATCAATTTGGATGTACAGTACAGTAGTTCCAGCCACCTTGTAGCATATCAGGGATAAAGTGGTGAGAGTAGAAGAAAATAATCCCCTGATCGAAGAGATTTGAGGGACTACAGTCATAGTGCTTTCTGTCTGCCAGTAGATAGTTTTCATATCATTATTAAAGTTCTATTCATCTCATTTCCCACTAAACTCCATATACTTGTGTTGTTTTAACTTCAGCCGCAGATCCGCATTGTTTTGGGCTCTGTTTAGGTTCCGGCCGTTCCATTAAGGGTTATAAACTCTTGTGGTAATATAAAACTTGTGACTATTCCTGCAGTAATGTTTAGCAGTACTGTACAAGCATAAAATAGTTAATCAATAGGTTGAAGAATGTTTATGAAGCCAATAGACCTTTAGGTAAATTGATTACGTATGTCTTCTGGAGATCTAGGAAATTGACACAAGTAGGAAGAATTACAGTAGTTGAAATAGTTTTGTTACTGCTGCCTTAAGGAGTCTGACTGTTAGAAATGAATGAAAGTAGCTACAGTATTATGTATTTATTGTATAACATCCTTTTATTTTCTTTCACAATAACCCAAACAATGACTAGGAATTAATTTATTGATGTTAACTATTATCATTATGATTTGACAAAGTACAAACATGACAGGAGGATGGAATTGTATAGAAAGGTCAGGTCTTGTTAACTATTTCCTGTGTTACATTGTTATGATAGTGTATTCATTGTACAGTATTAGTTTACTTGTACTTACAGCTGGCCACTCCAGAGATTGCTCCAGATCTCCCATACTCCCTCCTCCCAGCTCTCACTGATGGCTACTTCTCAGATATCACCATCACTGCAAAATCGGGAAGAAAGGTGAGGACTCTTTCTTTGTAATTGAGTATTTATTTTTCTTAGGTGCATTAGTGTTGTATTAGTCGTTTCAGTTAGAGGTGTTATACTGTTGCTGTGTTTTATATATTACAGTTTGAGGTACACAGCATCATTTTACAATCAAGTATGCCAAGTGTGGAATGGACATCTCTGTGTGGTCTGGATGACTCAGCCCTAGAGACCATCCTGTACTACCTCTACTCCTGCTGCCTCCCCTCCACACTCACCGTGGCCACCGCGCACAAGACCATTGCCGCCACCCAACATTTGGAAGGCTTTGAAGACTTCAGAAAGAAATGTGATATCTTCATTAAGAACACAAATCTCAGGAACAGTAAGTCATATTTTGTTCTGCTCTGCTTCATCAGCCTCTTGGCTCTCCTCCTGACTCACTCTCTCTCTCTTTTACTTTCTTTCTTTCTTTCTTTAGGTGTAGATCCAGGAATATCAAAATGGGGGTCCAAGAAGTTGTGGGTGGGGGAACGTGGCAAGCACAGTGAGCTCATCCAACTGGGGGTGGTTTTGGGGAGGCCATTTTGAGGCCATGTGCACTTGATATTAGGAGATATTCTGAGGTCAATAGTAATTACTTTTTACAATACAAAAACACCTGAGTGCAATACTGCATTAAAGAAAAAGTATTGGAATTTTCAGATGAAAGGGGTGGGTCCAGAAGCCCCAGGATCCCCCTGGTTCTGCCCCTGGTCTCCTCAGTTTTCACTTAGGTTAGGTTTGCTCACTACACAGAGGATAAGGAGGTAATGGTGCTGACAGTAAATGTAGGGCCTTGTTGTGCAGAATACCTGATATGTATACAGTATATATCTTAAAGCTATAAAAACAAATGAAGGGAGAATGTATGTGTGTTTGTACATGTGTGTGGACAGTATCCTGCATTAATCCTTAGCCTTCAGCTATTGGAAACCTCCTTACCACTGTACTGTATGTGCAAAAAAACCAACAAATTAAAAACATGCTGTACTCTCATAAGAATAAAGATATGCATGCAGAAAACTAACAAGTGGAAAATATTATATACAGTAAAGCCTCGAATAACGATGGTAATGTGTTCTCCAATATTGTAGTGTAAGGTGAATTGTCGTATCGTGAATCATCAATTACCATTAAAATAAAGCAATAATTATGAGATGCATTCCCAAGTGTGACCTTTTCATATCTTTTGTGTGTGGCTTTTTACCCTCTTTTCCCCCAAAAAACAAAAAAATTCATGAAAAATGCAAACTATATTCTGTAAATAGTGTTTATGAATGCTCCTTATACAATATAAATGAATAATAATATGGTCACACAAGAGGAGATGGGACGCCATTGTTTTCGTTAAGTGTTTACACCCGGGTGTCTGGGACGATGGTTCTACATAAGAAAATAAGACCCTGGGTGTAGCTGTAGTGAACTTAATGTAAAAAAATTGAATACCTGTAGTATATATGTTTTAAGTAATGTTATTTAATGTTATTAAATGGAACACTAGATGTAGTTAACCACTAATGGTAAAGATATAAGGCGAGAAGATTGGGAACGCCAACGTACCATATGTTAGTGCATACATGTGAAAACATATCGTCATTTCTCTACGTGAAAGCAACACTTATTTACTGTTCATATATGTTTTAAATAATACTTACTAATGTAAAACAAAAATTCTACTCACCAATGGTGGTAAAGTCTAAAACATAAGGACAGCCAAGGAATATTGTGTGAGTTTTTACTCATGATGAAGTCATCAGGTTCAACTCTGGCTGAAGCTGTAGCTTTCCATAAAGCTGTTGCTGAAACTGTGACTGAACCTGAAGTTGTTGATGAAGCTGCTTATGATGCTGAATTTGATGGTGTAGCTGAAGTTGATGGTTTAGGCCTTCGAATAATAAAGCTGTCGAAAGAACCTTGCACAGCTGCTTTCTTTTCTCATTATCCATCTTTATGTAGAGGTCATTTGCATTTTTTATATCCCTGTTAATTTGAATTCTTTGTTCTGTTAATGGATCCACTTCAGAAAATATGTTCATTGCTTGCTCCATATAATATCCACAGACCTCTCACCTTTTTCAAATCATATTTACACATCTAGTTTCTCGGCTAAGCTTATACACTTTGTTTTAGCCTTTGAACCAGCACTACCATCACTTGCTCTCTTGCTCATGTTGAATAGGGATGCAAAAATGCCGTAAGAAACCTGAGAAAGTTTTTCTCCTTTTCCTGTTCAGATGCGTGAAAACAAAAGGCTCGCCAGCTGCGACTGTTTATACTAGTGATAATGGCATCACCACTCACAAGCCCGGCAGCCTCCGTGCGCAAGGCTTGTTTTTTATATTTTTTTTATAATACATATCGGGATTTAATTATTATTTATATGAAAATGTAATTTTTTTAGTCTCTTTTCGTCGTAAATACGAAGAAAATAATGGCGTAAATTGAATTGGGTCCTAAATTAACCACGGTGTTAAATATGAATCGTCGTTAGTAGAACCGTCGTTATCGGAGGTTTTCCTGTACAGTCATCCCTCATTATATGAACGTTTGAGATTTGAAAATTTGCCATTGCGAATTTCCTAAATGACCATCTCTTTTTTCATATTATGAAAGCTTACCCTGCTTATAAGAATTTGGGTCCCAGCAAAAATTTCAAATCAACCCCCTTCCCCCTGGGAGTCAGCTGGGGCGGCCACATTCCCCTAGTGCTCTTCCTACCAGGCTGAGGGAGGAGTTATGTTAGGGTTATTTTTCAACTCATAATATTGGGAATATAAACTTGACTTGCTAAACTTTTTTTTTTACTCGCTTACATGCACACAGAATTCTACATAGAGAATGTGCAAAAAAATTAAAATAATAATAATTATTATAATATCAAAATACTGGTCGCCCGTCATGTACGATGATGGCCGGCCCTAGGGCCACCTAGGCATGAATTTATTTAAGGTGTAGAAGCTGTCGCCACCACAACAACCACACCCTGAGTTAACGAGTTGCATGACCCAGTGTCAAGGAATACTCCGAGAAGACCGGACAAATCGGCAACTGCACTGGCTAACCATTACCCCAGAAAACGATCTGCAAATCGATTAACATCCAGGTCCCCAATTACTGCTGAGTAGACAGAGGCAAATGGCATAAAGAAACTTGAACATAATTTTACCCTGCCCAGAGATTGAACCTGGGTCCACTCACGTGTGAGGCGAGCATGCTGACGATTAGATGACCCCCAGACAATGGTTTCAGAGCTCGGCCAGCATGTTCAATAGTTAAAAACATAAAGGGAATAAATATTTCTTTGTGTGTGAGAGCAGGGGAGGGAGCATTGCTAAGGGTCAACAGAGGTGGTGTCCTCACAGGGTTGACTAAGCTTGAGGGCTGCCACATATGACACAGCCAGTGTGTATGCAAGTGGCGGCTGTGTTAAACTTTCATTTAGCTTTTCCCTAATGGTTTTAGCTGCATTTTTCATCTAGACAGCATTTCATTAATGTTTTTAATGTGTAAGGTAGTAAATTACAGTATTTGTGTACTATATATCATTAGTTAGGTAGGCTCTTTGTTGTCTGTGAAGTGATTTCATGTTTTGGGCTATGATTATATGGGTGTCTTGTCAGTGTAGAAACTGAATCCTATTTTTCCTCTATGTTCTTTTATTTAAGATATGAAAATTCACTTAATGAATGAATGGTTTTCCAGGAACCTAACCCATTTGTATAGTAGGGGATACCAGTACTGTACTGTACTTGTTCAGTCATGTTTGACCGACTGGGAGGGACTAGGAGGTGGTGAGGCAGACTGTCACTAATAACAAAGAACTGGCATCTTCCATGGTGACTAAAATGCAACTTAGAGCCATATTTGGGTGTGAGAAGGACTACAGTGATACATTTCATGTCTAATTAATGCTGAAATTGGCATGTAATTAGAAAACATGCCACAGAAATTTGTTGTTATATGAGACATGTGTCACTTTTAAGAGTTAGGCAGGAAAGGTTTTGAAAAGGTAAAAAGATCAGCCATTAGATCGTTTTGGGACTAGATGTAAAGTTCAAGTAATAATCTAGACAGAGGAATAATTAATCATCAGAATCTACACAATATCTTTTCTACTTGGTACAGGACTGGTGTGTCTGATGCAGGAGGTGCAGGAGTGTGTGGAGGTGATGGTTCAGCTGTTCAACCCCAGCGATCCAGCAGTGACCAGCCCCACACATCTCATTACTGTTCTTAAGGCTGCTCTCAGACAGATGGCTATTGGTAAGATATATAGTACAGTATATTGGTGTATGACGGGTGATGGTAACATTTACATAATGGTGGTAGGACAATCCCTTTTTTCCCTCCTAATACCAGCCACCCTGCAGTTAATTAAATACTGTATATGCATAATAATATAACAAAAGACTACATGTTGTTTATTCTTATTAAGTTAATCACACTAAGCAGAGTGTACAGTACTTAGTTCATACAGTACAAGTCTTTTACCCTATTCACACAAGCCTATAATACCACAATGCTTTATTTGCATACTAGTATTATTATTATTTTTTATTTTTTTAAGGTGTGGTGAAAGTAGTTGAGCTAAGCCAGGAGTTTGAACAGTGTGGGTGGAGACTGACCCAGGCAGAACAGCATGAAGTGATGCGGTACACTCGGTCACAGCTGCCACGCCTGCTGGCCACGGTGGTGCGACTCTTGGCCAATGTACGAGCATCACTTGCCGCCCTCAACCACCACACTCGCCAGCAGCTGGCACAGCAGCTGGTTCCAGAGGTACTGTACTCTCATTGTAGACAACCCCAAGATTATTGATAATTGTAATATTATACTGTACATTTGTGCCTGGTTACCATGTTTATAGCTGGCACTGCAGCTCAATCTACAGTACAGTAAAGGCACTACAGTACACTACACTGCAGTACTGATCACCCATGTGAGGTCATTTATACTTGTTTACTTATTGATAAGTTACAACAGCATGATTACATGTATTGTGTCTTACACAACTATGAATATCAGTAACACTGGCAGTTTTCTCAAGTTATGAGTAACAATAATAATTAACCTCAATTATCCAAACTTATACATTTTGTTATTTGCAGATCAGCTCAGTTCTTCAGACTGTGTGTGTTGATGTTGGTTCACTCAGAACAAGTTTAGAGCACATCATCCAGGCTTCGTCCACATCTCTGGAGTCTGCACACTCACCCACTCATCTACTGGCAAAGTCCCTCAGAAATGTAAGTCTTGTGTTACAGAGGTAATCAAAAGCTCTTAAGTTATATCAGTATTTCCTAGTTAGACTGTTCTCTCACCCAGTCATTCATATCTTATGTTCAGTACACTACTGTAATGTGGAAACTTACCTGATACAGTTAGAAATTTAGGAGAAAACAATTTGGTGGTACTGTATGCTACACCAGCGGTTTGTTTTGGTTAAAGTTTTTATATACGTACAGTATATAGTTTTTTTACTTGGTTGGGAAACACTGGAATATGCACCGAACATGTTGTATCCTAAAACAAATACTAATGTCTGATTGAATCATCATTAAACAAAGTTATTATTAAGAACAAAATTATATACAGTAGTCAGCCATTGTTTAATATGGTTTCCAGTGAGATATCTTGTTCTTTCATTGTGTGCAAATGTTTGTTTGTTTCTATTTCAGTTTTCTCCTTTGCAGGACTTGCATCTTCGTGAACTACAGAAACTTCGCATTCTACAGGAAAATTTAACTTCATTCTTGAATTCCCTTGTTCATAAAAGAGAACAGTTCGAGGAAATAGGTGGTGGGGCGAGGGTGCGGGGAGTGGCCAGAATTATTGAACATTTCACTGAAGAACTTCCAGTTTTAACACTGCGTCTTGAAGAAGCAGCGGCAGACTTGGAAGAAATTGTGGAATGGTCCGAGTTTAAGTTTGTTTTCAAGGGAGCGACCTCGAAAGTGGTAAGTATTCTTATTGACTAATTCTCTATTTAATATTTTGCTCCTGCTTCCTTGTAAAAATTAGTGACTAGTGATCTTGTCCCTTGCTATTTTGTGGGGTTGGGAAAAATAAGAGTGCAAATAGTGACTTATAGATCTATAATCAGGAATTGATTGAATGAAGTCAGGACCTGGTTGGAATGATTCTGTGGCTGGCATTGGCATTGTGGGAACAGATGAGAGAGGTGGTCATCTCTTTCCTGGAGAAGACGTGTGTTCCTGGACAAGAAGCCAGTCATAGTTACAGTGATACAGCAGTACAGTAGTAGAACACTGGAAAGAAGCACTAAGAGTCATGTAATGTTGGTGGGGCAGCAAAGAGGCGTGGGGTTCCTGGGGCCCAGATTCACTAATGACGTATGGTCACCGTAAGTCCCTGTGATCAACCTCAAGGCTGAACGGGTGATTCACTAAACGTTTGTGGCGACCGTAACCCAACTTATCGTACAGCAAAAGTTAGGAGTCACAGAGCACCCATAAGCTTCCACAAGACAGAAATAACTCCCGTTTTCACTACTATACATCTCATACCAAGACACACACAGCTGCCTGACGTACAACTTCAAGGGTCACTAGTGAGAGTGAAGCTGTAAAGATGTAACTAATGATTGCTTTAGCTTATGACTGTGTGCTCCTGAGAGGAAGGGTCTTTAGGGATCCTTTGGACCCGTTACAAATTGTTGACCACTTACTGCTATGTAGGGATATATTCTGGCTGGATACATCTGTGTTTATAGCTTTGAGGGTTTTAACCAAGTGGTAGTTTCCAGAGTGTAGTTGATGATGTTAATACCTTAAGGCAGTCAACTGTGTCAAGAACTATAAATAATAGTAATAATATTATTAATCTTATTTTCATTACCGTATTAGTTTTATTATTACTATTATTATATTACTTTTATTATTATTATATTAGTTTTACTATTGCAGTACAGTAGGGTCGGGATATATCGCGGGATAGAGTCCAATGATGTTCACTATATACTAAATCGCTATATATAATTACAGTCTCTTCTCGACTTTCGACTGGGTTCCGTCCCGACGACCAGGTTGTAAGTCGAATTGGTCGTAAGTCGAAAAGGCGAAAATAATACATAGAAATTCTAAAATGGGGTCTTTTTCTTCTCAGCACCACGAGAACTCTCACTTTTAAGCTTGCCAGCCATTTTAAAGGGAATTACAAACGAAAATTTTGTTAGTACACAGCGCGATCACTGACGTCGGGACTCGAAAATACGTAATGTGAAAAATATTTTATACGACCATGGCCGTCGTATGTCCGGGTTGTCGTAAGTCGAGGAGAGATTGTACTTTTAATCAACGGGGAAAATAGGGTTAGGTTCTGGAGGCCCCAAAAAGTGACTAAACTTGACTTAACGAGTTAATTTTCTTACTAACCAAAGCACCAATGACCACTAGACTCGGGAACAACAGGCTATTTCAATATCAAGGAACACCAGACTTGGCAGCTGACGCACCATCCCGAAAACACCAGACGACACACTGCCACCCTCACTTAACAATCACCAAAATAATTAGTTACAGTATTAAATCATTTCCATTAAGCTATCCATTATCTTCACTTCACTTTTCACGTCACTACCAACCCATTTACACTCACCTTAGAAGTCTTGATCTGCAGCAGTCGGCTGCTTTCTCGTCACTCACTCAGAAAGACTGAGCGGGCGAGGGTGAATGCGTGAGTGAACAGCCACGGTGGCGCCTCGGGTGAGCAAATAACTCATTTGTTTGCCATGGCGGTCCATTTGAAATATTTCCTCTCCCGGTTTCCCTCACGAAATAAAAAAATTTATCGCTATATATCGGAAAATTTTGATAATTTTGGGAGCCACGATATAAAAAATCGTTATATAAAGTCGCGATATATCCCGACCCTACTGTATTATTATTAACGAAAATCTTATTAGAGAAATTCAATTGCCTTTTCTTTTAAAGTACTGTACAGGGTAGTGTCCCTCCATTGTTCTTACCTCGTGTGACTTTATGCACTGTCTGCTGGCAAGGGTAACTTGTGATTGGTTAATATTCCTTCACATTGTTTGTTCTGGACATTATGATTGGTCTAACAAGGAAACAAAACAAATACACCACAACTCCCTCTGGCGGTAGCTTACTGAACTAAACTAAACTTGCAGTCGCTGTATGAACCTTTAGTGAATCTCCCATTACCAATATCGTACGGTCGTTGTAGCCACTTGAGATAAGGGGAGAGAGGCGATCAAAGTTACAGTCATGTTAGTGAATCTGGGCCCTGGGAGGAGAAGAGCTCTGGATGAGGATGGCACTGTTGATAAGGAGACAGTGAGCCCTTATGCAGGCAGCCACCTAGAAGTTGTGGGAATTTGAATGGCTTTCCCATTGGTCAAATAGGACCTATGGTATTATCAGTCATCTCATTGGTCCTGGTGAAAGTTGCAAACAGCACCTTCGTATAATAATTTGCTGGGTAGGAGGGATGCATGGTCGAGCAGAGGGTTAATCCAGAAGTGACAGGGAGGTAGTAGAGGTCACCTTTTATCTGTATGTGAACATCTTTGATAGGGATCTCCTCTGTAACAATAAGTATAGGAGAATAAAATTTGTTGTGTAAGATCATGAGAATGTAAGCTACAGCCTCTCCAAATTTATACCTCCTTGAAGGTAGAAAAAGGGTTCAACACCTGTACAGGATATGTTGCTATTCTGATTGTCTTTGTGATTATGAGTGAGATGAAGTAAGTGCATTGTTTGTATACCTAATACTGTATATACTCTATAGTTGTGTACTTAAAGCTTGTAACTGAAGCCTTTGATTGGCTGGCAGGCAGACATGGGAAAGGTCACTACAGTTCTTTATGATTTAAACTATTGTAATTTCCTCACTTGGGGAAACCAAAATTAGCTAATGAAATACTCTTGAGATGTAAACCCCCACCACAGCACAATGGAGGACATCCCTGAAAATTTGTAATCTTTTTCTTGTTCTCTTCAAGCAATTTATGTTACCAGAGTGTTTTACAAGCTCACATGGAATAGTTATTATCCCTTAAAATATCAGGATATAAATGTTAGATTAAATAGTAAAGAACTGAATGAGTTTTCATGTGTCTGTCCACCAGCCAATCATCTGCCTTGCTACAAAAAAGACTTGGCCTCAGTTGCAAGCTTAGAGAGAACAGAATATAGTTTCATGTATGGACTTTTTGAATACTTTTACTGCGCACCTTCACTCTTTATTCAGTCATTTCTCTTAGTTCTAATAATGCTACATGAATTGAGGCGCTCAGCATTACAAGGGGGTAAAGCTCCACCCCTGGCCAAATGCCTTTTTTGATGGATAATACTATTTTCACCCTTCCTCTACATGTTGGCATTGGATTTAACCCCCTAGGTAGACTAGAAATATGGTTGAAAGTCCTTCAAAAGTGGGGTGTCATTTCACCTCTGGCCGGGAGCTACGCGTCTGGCTGTGTGCTCAGTAAGTAAAGGTGTTCACATCCCGTTCAGAGTGAGAGGAACGATTTTTAGAGAGGGCAGAGAAAGACTTGGAACAGTACATGATTGATTATGACGAGGCCATTAAAGTTATACACACTCCTCAGGATTTACGTAACTTCAACTTACTACGATCTTCAGGGATAATAAAACGAAGGAGCTAAGCAAAGTAATTCGTAATACTGTACTATTATCATAATACCGTTTTTACCAAAGATTATTCAAACTTTCTCCGCCTTTGTATTCGTATGTTAATTATGTTGGGGAGGAGTGTAGTGGTGACCTTATTAGTACACACTATTATACTTAACAATATTATAAATCTTTGGCTAATAATAGGGACGGAAAGATAAATACTGATAGGCAAATGAGTTTTTATTATTTCGTTATGGGGGGTGTAAGATGAGTGTTGTTTTTGGTGATCATGAACTTGTTTTACAGTATTAGTCCATAATAATAAGAAAATTTGGCAGAAAAATGCTGTTATTGTTGGTTTGAAGATCAAACAACCATACATGACGGGTAGTTATTCTCATTCAATTTGCGATAAACTAATAACTGTTCACAGAACTAACTTCCAGTTTTCATTGTTCACTAAAGAGGGTTTTAGCTGCACATTAAAAAAATGAACCATCTAGCTTAAAAAACAACAAAGTTATGGTTGTTTGAACTTCGAAAAACTTTAAACGCGTTTTTCTCCGCTTTTTAAATTTTGCGCTTTACCCCCATATAATGCAGAGTGCCTCAATTATTGAGTATCTTAGCCTCATAGTCATTGTTGTTAATACCTGTAGTTTGGTTTTTTTAGCCAGTTCATGTTATATTGGAATATAAAGTGTACGAGGTCTGTCCGGAAAGTATCCGGCCATTTACTATTAAAAAAATTATTGCTTACCTAGGACAATGGCGCCTTAGTCCCCTTCAAGGTACTCCCCTTGGGACCTCACACACTTCTCCCAGCGTCCCTTCCACTTTTCAAAACAGTCTGCAAAGTCCTCTTTCGGGATCTTCATCAGCTGCCTCGTCGCATTCTCCTTAATCTCGTCCAGGCCAAACAATAACGAAGGAGTACATCAAAGTTCTTCGCCGGCTGAGGGATGCGGTAAGAAGAAACGACCGCAGCTGAGGGCAAGTGGTGACTGGCAGCTTCATCATGACAACGCGCCTGCCGATTCTTCACGTCTCGTGCAGGGTTACTTGGCAAAACATCGCATCACCCAGGTCTTTCAGCCCCCCTACAGCCCAGATTTGGCTCCCTGCGACTTCTGGTTTTTCTCAAAGCTAAAATCGCCGTTGAAAGGGAGGAGATTTCAGACCGTGGACGAGATTAAGGAGAATGCGACGAGGCAGCTGATGAAGATCCCGAAAGAGGACTTTGCAGACTGTTTTGAAAAGTGGAAGGGACGCTGGGAGAAGTGTGTGAGGTCCCAAGGGGAGTACCTTGAAGGGGACTAAGGCGCCATTGTCCTAGGTAAGCAATAATTTTTTTAATAGTAAATGGCTGGATACTTTCCGGACAGACCTCATAGCATCATCCTACACAACAGGCAGGCTCCATTGTTTCCAGGCATCACTTGTGTATTTATCTCCCTCTCATCCTCACACAGGCTGTCAACTCATGATCCTGGATACTGGCTGCCTGTACAGTACTCTCCACACTTACATCTTCCCTGTCTTCAGAGTCCTTGTTTTCTTCTATGTTCAGCCTCTAGACTCACAACCTTCAGTCATTTCAGATATTTCTTTAATGCACAACTTAAGATAATTTGCTTCATGTTAAAGACAAAATATGTCCTGTATTCTATCAAAATACTTAGAGTTTACTTTATTGCTGTTTCAGGGGAGTATTGTGGAGCGACTGGTGGAGCACCGTGGAGTGGTGGAGTCGTTGGTGGCGGAGTTGGTGGAGCGTGTTGGTCACCCCGCCTTCACCACCTCCCTGCAGCACCTTGGTCTCCTTGCTCCATTGCAGGACTCCTCGTCTGGTGAATCACCATCCCCAGAAAATTCTAAAGCACAAGGTATGAACCATGTTATTTTCTGTGTGTGTGTGTGTGGGATCCTCACTTCAGTTTTAATTATTGTGTATTTAATGAATTTTGATCATAAACTGTTTTCAGAGTTACGGCCATCGTCAGCAAATGATCTGAATTCCCCTGGTGATGTGGAGGGGCCGGCAGACACCAGTTCTCGCAGTGTGTCCAACTCATCAGATACATCAAGTGGCAGTGGACAGCGCCGGTGCCCGTCCATTCCTAACATGGACACACTCCATGATGAACACACTCAGTCACCTTATAAGGTACAGTACTGTACACTTCTCCGCATGATAGAAAATAATGACCAACATTAAATAGAAGCATTCATATGGTCATTAGCCAGAATCCCTCAAACCCGGAACTCTCCGATAGCTAGAATTGAAATTTTCTCGGAAAATCATTCCCAAGCTGGAATTTTCAGGAAAATTCCGGTTTTGGGAACGATTTTCCGAGGGGCACGTTTTCTGGACAATTCCGAGAAAATTTTCCCAGTACCCAAAAAATTCTGGGGATGTGGGATATTTTTCCAGGTTCGATAGATGATGTAATTTGCAACTTCCGAGAACATTTTTCCATTTCCCGAAAAATTCCGGGGATGGGGGATTTTTTCCGGCTTTGAGAGAGTCATTTCTTTACCCAGAAATCTCTCATTCCAGAAGTGCTCTGCATCAATTGTTCCGGCTAGTGGAGATATCACTGTACTGTAAGCCTCTCTCTTTCCCTGTAAAAAGATTTAACTAGAACTAAAAGCTGAATAGGTCTTTTAAGTCCTTCCAATGTGTGTGACAGCAAATAATGTTAGATATTAGAGATCACCTCAAGATTCACCTCCACAGCTTATATCACCTGAAGTTTAACCACCCTAATACACCCTAAGGGGGGGTTAGATTAGGGTATACAGTATTTGGTGAGCATTAGAGTGGTTAGTTATCATGTGAAATACTGTACACTGGGGTCAAGTTTTTTGGGGGTTATCTGATGTTAATTCCTTAATAATTTTCATATGCCATTTTAAAAACTATAATGCAAATTTAACTTAATATTTTCACCACCCAAACAATTATAAAGACTCACTGTGAGACTCTTCATGTTGCTAGACTCTCATACAATATGGTGGTGCTCTGAGGGTGGTGGTAAAGGGTAGACCTGCCGGTAAGTTTGCCATGAAAGGTAATGTTTGACACCCATACAGAAACTGCATTGAGATATGGATTGTAAAGAGAGTGGACAGTCACAGAAATTTGGAATGGATGAGTTATAAATTAGGAATCACCTGAAAATTAGGCACTCCAGCTTATTTCACCTGAAGATTAACCACCCATAACATTAACCTAACCTCAGAGTTGTAAAAAGAACCGGACTTTGTTATTTAAGTAAAAGTATTGTAACATTGGGAAAATGTTACTCAAGTACTGTATAAGTAAAAGTAACCAAAGATCAATGTACTGTACTCAAGTAAAGGTAAAAAAGTATCTTATTCATAAAGTACAGTACTCAAGTACTGAAAGTAAAAAGTAACAACAAAATTATTGTCTCAAATATTAAAATAAATCCACAGTAAATTATCTAAAGATACAAATAAGACACACAGCATTACACATGTTTATCTGCAAGTCCTTCTATTGAGATTAATTATTAACTCATTCTCAAAATTATGGCTGTCCAATCAGGATTTAGGCCTAAATATAGGTCCAGCGTGACCTACTGAAAGAGAATACGTTCAGCCGCTCTTCTCCCTACAATCCATCATAGGGATAGTGAATGGACTGAAAATATATCCATCCAACACTATGATCACTTTCTTCCTTATCCACACAAGTATCATCAACGTGGACTTATGGTCCGCAGAAATAATCTTGTCTCTCCTCACATTAGGTTAGGATACAGACCTATCTGAGGTGGGAGATGACCTGTTCTTCTCTGTAACTGTCCCAACACTAACACCCTACAACACTACTGTACTGTATTGCCTTGACTGTCCCACCGTCAGGGACCTCTTACCTCAGGGAGAGTCACGAACCACTATAGGTCACCACCTACTTATACGTATTAATTTAGATTTAATTCTTGTACGTTACCCACGCTTTGGTGGTGCTAACTCCCATTGTCCTTAAATTATATCAATATTGTCTCCTTATCACAAGTCATAGTGTGTCCAAGACATGAGTACCAATATATTAGTGTTTGACCGCATGGTCTTGTGACTAGACTTGTCGCCCCCTGGGGTGTAATAAATTAATTAAATAATAAATAATAAGCCCATCATGACTAAACAGACACTCACAAGCAGCAGACATAGGTAGTGGGGTGTTAAGCTTGAGAAGTAAGTCACATAAATGTCGGGAAAGACCTCAGTAGCTCCATTCCATCCCCTGGGCATGCCAAGTGGCTATCAAGCTCCTTCAGTTGAGGAGTTTGTGGATGATCGTTGCCTCCATAGTGACTGAGTCTGAGTGAGACTCACCGTGAACTGTCCCTTTAATTGGGGTGTGGCTGTGGTGACATCTCTTAGCGGTTCTAATTGATGAGTGGCTGAATTTTTCACACCACATAACATCTGGGAGGTTTGGTGGGGGCAGTGGTACTTAGTTATTTAAGCAGAATTTTAAATACACTTAGTCTCATACATATGTTTAGATACAAGCTTTATATCTAAGATGGAATTATGTAAAGCATTTTAGAATCACAGCATCTTTTAAATTCATTTTAGGTTCAGTATAGGCAAAGAGCAACTGACATCTAACAGGAAGACCAAGCCCCTGAATGAAAGGTGGGGGAGAAGAGAGGGGATTTGATGGGGGGAGGGGGGATAAGAGGGTAGGCTAGGTGAGGTGGGTGGTCAAGGTGTTGATGGACACAGGAAGATCAAAAGGAAAGTTCGCTGTCAAGGCCACTGCCACCTGACCTGACGTCACCTCACCTCATGAGACCTCTAGGTATGTGACCACACGCCCACACCCACACCGCACCCTTCACAGCTCCACCCACACCGTACCCTCCACCCACACAACTCTTTTGCTAAGGTTAATAATTAATTAATTGATTTAAAAATATATAATTAGTTTGTCACAGACACTAAAACTCTTTGTTTGGGTGATGTAACAGTAATGATTTTTGTAATTTTCATTTGTATTGGAGTAAAAGTATTAAATAACTATAGTGAAGTAAAAATACTTAAAAAATTTAGAAAAGTAAATACTGTACCCCAAAATTTTACTTGATTGAGTACTGTCCTCAAGTAAATTTATTTAGTTAATTTACAACTCTGCCTAACCTAACCCACTCAGGTAGTGGTAGAGTGGAAACCCTTGAGGTGAAATGAGCTGGGGTGCCTAACCTTGAGGTGGTCCAACATTAGTAGAGTATATTAGAGGGCAGTTTATAAGGCTGGTTCTGTAATGATACATGTAATTTTTCCCCAATTGATGATAGTAATTCATTGGTGTTTTTGTCAGCAGCTGAGTCTGGTGAGTCGAGTGTGTGAACCTCCTCCATCACGCAGCAACCCATTAGCTGTCAACATTGCTCGACTTTTAGCCGATCCAGTGTTAAGTGACATGACTTTTGTCATTGTCCCACCAGCAGGTGAGATCCAGTATATTATGTCAATGTTGTTTCTACAAGTTATCATCTTTCCTTTTGTTTTATATACAGTACAGTGCAGTGCAGTGCAGTACAGTACAGTACCTGTATTATCAAATCTTACTTTATGTCTTCTACCTGTATGTTTGTACAACAGACAGTACAGTAATGGTAAAATAGTACAGTAACCTTATGTATATCTTAGCATGTATTGTACTGTACTGTACAGTCATGAACAATAGTGCTGTCTTGCTGCCAGCCACAATGTGAAGCTGATACACCTGAGGCTTGAACAACAAAGTACCAGAAGGAACTGCCTTTTTGAACCAATAGCCGGTGCACGTGTGTATCAGGGTGACAGTGTGGCTGGCAGCGGGACAACACTATTGTTCATGACTGTACCTTCAAATGTGTGTATGTGTGTGAGCAAGTATGCATGTGTGTAAATATATGTATGTATATATGTAATAATAATAAAGATAATTAACGGTTTATTGATAGAAAATTGCAAGCCAGAGGCTGAAAATACACAGTGAACAGTAATTATGTAAAGTACATCTTAAGGAGTTATTGAGGGGGGGGTGGGTCATTGAATATAAACTTTCAATACATTATGAGGAGAACTTGTGGTGAACATACAAGTTAGCTATAGTATTTCCACACTAACCTGGCCAGCAAGCCACGCCTCTCGTCTATAGCTACAAGTTGCTGATTGGTTCATAGAAAATGTTTATGTAGCTGTCCATTTATTCCTACTAAATGTGTTCACAATTGGTAAGCAGACCTGTTATTATCTATAATAATGTTAAATAACGAGACTGTCATAATGCAAATAATTTCAAGGCATTAGCACTTCAGAGAGGATGTTAGAAAATGTTAAATATTTATCATAAAAGGTCGAAGTCAAAGATGAAATTTGCTTTGGAATGAAGTCTTTTCATATTTCTTTGTTTTATACCAACAATAAGGCAAACAGAAACAAATGACACCAAACATATAGCACAATAGGTGATGAACTACTGTTTGTACGGCTGTATCTATCCCAAATCATTTTTAGAACTGATAAAATCGATATAAATACGTGCTTATATACGCTCAGTCCCATTATTTAACATTATTTTATATAATAACAGGTCTGCTTACCAATTGTGGACATACTTAGTAGGAATAAATGGACAGGTACATGAACATTTTCTATGAACCAATCAGCTATTTGTAGTTTTAGACGAGAGGCGTGGCTTACTGGCCAGGTTAGTGTGGAAGGGGGTAAGAGGTCTGATACCTTTAACTGTGATTGGAGAGAGGCTGGTCTTAGTCCTGATGCAGCTGTGGTGTTGTACAGCTGGAGGATCACAGGGTGTTGTTGGCCTCCCTGATGCAGCTGTGGTGTTGTACAGCTGGAGGATCACAGGGTGTTGTTGGCCTCCCTGATGCAGCTGTGAAACAACATACTGTACTGTATAATGAACACAAGTTTACCCTAGAACTAATGATATAAACAGAGCCAACATTCCTGGTCAAAAATTGCTCACCAAAATATGAAATATTTAATTTATATTATTATAAGTTAGAATAACTACCGTAATTATATACTGTATAAGATATATGTCAATATGATAATAATTACCTGAGATGATTAAGGAAACTTCATATAGAGGCCAGCTGGGGTAGGGAGTGGTGGAGTTACTGAGACAAAGTTGCAGCCATTAAAAGAGTTGAGGCTCTCAATTGACTCAGCCATAGTCAATATTATTATTATTATTGTCCACTCAGTATATTTATTTTTCTGGCTAAATTACTGTTTCAATATCAAGGTACTTGTATTGCCTCTTCATTTAAGATGGACATTTAAATGTTGGTCCAAAGACAGTTGGACAACTTTCTCCTTCCTGTTGTTTGTGTGGCTCCTGGCATTATGGTTATTAACTTGTTAATCCTAGAGCTGCGTTCTCTCTTTGGATTACACTCACTGAAGGTGTCTTGTAGGGGTACACCAAGTACTGGTGATGTCAAGTTCAAAACACCTTAAAACATCTAATTTAACCTTTACAGTGGTACCCCGATTTACGCGGTCAATTGAACCCACAGGGTGCCGCGTAAAGTGAACAACAGTACATATGGGATTAATTCCAATAGAGACTGGCCCGACCCCCAAACTCCACTTTTTCCTACACAATACCTACGTTGTAGTAAAAATAACATCTTAACTTTATGATGGTATGCACACACAGTTAATATAGAAGAGGTTAGGTTAGGAAGAATAAAAGTTAGGTTAGGAAAACTAAAGGTTAGGTTTAACACTTACGCTCGTAGAAGAGATGGGTCGGCACATGGGGATGGAGGCTGGTTCCGAGGCAGAGGGCAGATTACTGGCCCTCAGGTGAATCGCCATCACTAGGTGAATCACCATCACTATCCGTCATAGTTGTCAGGGCCTCCCTGACAATTCCCTCAAAGTCACCTTCACTGTCACTATCACTGGCTCGGGCTGGCTGTGGTGGGTTGCGGGCGAAGAACTCGGTAATGCTTTTTTGACGGCTAGTGTTGATGTTGTCTTGATACACCTTGATGTACGGCTCCATAGCCTGCAACAGCCGGGTATGGAAGACTTCATAGCGGTCATCGTCATGGTCGTTGGAAAGGAAGAGCTTCAATTTCTCTGCACACTCGATGGCACCCTTAATATTACTATGCATTAACTTGTGTTCTTTTGGGATTGACGCACCACCTGCCTCTTCACTGACGTGATCATCTTCCAGCATCTCGTCGGCAGTCATTTCAGGATCTCTGATCACCTCCAGGATGTCTTCGTTGGTGGTCTCGGAGAAGCCTTCAGCTGTAATAGTGTGTGCAGCTTCTCTTGCAAGGTCCAATGCCACTGTCACTGACTGAACCTCACCAGTCACAGGTTGACTCTGCCTCTCACCTGGCATACCATGCAACACATGCCTCCATGCGTGACGAATCGTAGCTACAGACAGCTGATCCCATGCCTCCACCAATAAGTCCACAGCTTGTTTGACGTTAAATTTTTTCCAAAACTGTTTGACGAGAACTTCTTGATTCACCACCTGTCGTTCCTTGTCCTCGTCCTTGTCGCTTTTACTCTCGCTATCGGTGTCACCCAGCTTACGCAACTCATCCTTGGTGTTGGTACAGTCGTTCAGGAGCTTAAATTTCTTTGCAGAGTATGCAGCTTTCACATTGCAGATCAACTCCTAGTCCATGGGCTGGATTAATGACTTGGTGTTGGGAGGAAGGAAGACCACTTTTACGTTGGGGTGACGATCCATAAGTAGTGGCGAGTGTCCTGGTGCATTGTCAAGGAGCAACAAAATGTTGAATGGAACATTCTGTTGCTCGCAGAATTTCTTCACGTCGGGAACGAAACAGTCATCAAACCGGGAGAGGGACAGAGCAGAGAACATCCACGCCTTACGTGCGGTCAGCCAGTGAACATTAATCTTGCTCATGTCCACGTTCTTGTAGGCGTGTGGCTTGCGGGCTGTGTGAATCACCGATAACTTGGGTTTACAGGTACCGGAGGCATTGGTGGTAAAGAGGACGGTGATGTGCTCCTTCTGCAACTTCCAGCCCCGAATCTTGCTGGCAGACTGGACAACGAAGGTCTTGGTAGGCAGCTTTTTCCAAAATAGACCGGATTCATCCATGTTGAACACCTGGTCGTCGGTGTACTGTCCTTCCTCCATAACCTCACGTAAGAACAGAGGAAAATCTCTATCCGCCGCACGGTCAGAACTCGCCTCTTCACCACCAATGTTAATGTTGGTGATCTTGTTCCTCTTCTTAAACCTGTGCAGCCAACCAGAGGAAGCATTGAAGGGTTTGGGCTCTGCAATTCCCATCTTACGTGACACTGCTGCGTACAGTTCACTGGTGTACTCTTGAACGGATCGCGTGTCCACCGCCATGTTGCGTCACACATGACGAATCAAGTAACTCGCCAGCAAATTTTCAACCTTTAGCAGCACCTTGTTCTGGCATTACTTGATCATTGAAGCACCTGCAGACTTTGTGATTCTTATGTGTTCTTTGATCTTGGCTGCATCCTTCTTAATAGTACGAATCATAGATTCGTTGACTCCATGCTGGCGCGCGAGATCAGCTTGACGTGTTCCTGTCTCCAATCTTGAATTATCTTGTATTTCACTTCGTAGCTTAGGGAACGTCGTATCTTCTTTGGCTTAGGGCGGCTGGGTCCAGGTAAGGCAAGGTTTCTCTCTGGGGGCAGTGGTCCAGCGGAAGCCATTTTACAGAACAATGTATGCACGTTTACACGGTGTGACCTGGAGGGATGAAACTGACGCGGCTAGGTCAAGCGTCGTTCTTCCCTACCTCCCGCGGGTGGACACGTCATATTACTTTAAACAAATCACAGCTAGCAGCGGAGGGAGGTAAGGATGCATGGCCCAATCACAGTCCGATACGTCATATGACGTCACTGATAACGCAACAGAGACATCCACTGCGCAACCTTACCGCGCGGCTTGCCCAAGCGGGAGAAGGCGAGAGGGTCGAATCTAAAAATAGCGTCGCGCCAGACACTCTGCGCGAATATGGGTAGATGCACCGCGTAAAGTGAAAGTCCGGTTCTGGCGAGGTACCGCATAAATGCGAAATCGCTGAAAGTGAAACCGCGTAAAGCGGGGTATTACTGTACATTAATACAATTTCTTGTTCTTTCTTACCAGGGGAACAAATATTACTTGCTGGACATTTTCCTCTCATCTTACAGGGTTTTGGTAAGGTTTTAGACACTATAAACAAACAAGATCCAGAGAATGTGGCAGCAATGTGTAAACTGACACTGAGAATGGGACGCGGCAGAGGAATTTGGTGGGTGTTCGGCATTCTAAGACTACCCATAGTTGTCCACCACTGCATGTTTTTGTTTAGGTGGGGGAGATAGTATTTTTTCTATAATTCATCAGCAATGTATAGCGAGACAACGTATAGCGAGACAACGTATAGCGAGACAACATATAGCGAGACAACGTATAGCGAGGTGTGTCTGTATTAAGGGAATGGGATGTGAAAGAGTGATAAAAAGAGTTGGTAGTGAAGTCTGTGGTCACTGTACATCTGTGTATCCCAGGAGTACTGTATGCTGTGTGAAGAACAATCCATAGGGAAACATTAAAATGATCACTGTGCACATTATTTTGTGTTGTTTTTACAGGTTTTTATTATTATTATTATTATTATCATTATTATTATTATTGCTGAATCTCTTGTGGGGAATTGTTTTAAGTATCATTGAAATTGTTGTCCCCTTGATACAGATGATGAGGCTTCTCCATCATCAAGCCAGGAGGAGCTTGATGTGATAGAGGGACAAGAAGCCAACAAGAGTGCCAGTAAAGAGTCTGTGAAGGAGTCCAGCTCTGAGTGGTGTGAGTTACAGCAGCAGCCCGGCACTATGTCTCAAGCAGCACCCAAGATGTCTTCTACAGTTGTTCGTAAAGTGAAGAAATCTCTGAGCCTAGACCGTCCGTCCGTAAGAGCAACAATGCCTAGTCAAGCATATAGTCTTGATTGTGATGCAATGACTTGTTCTGATAATGTTTTAGTGCCCAATATTCCAATTATGCCTAAATACTTTAATCAACATCATCCTGCAGCAGACTTTAAGTTTATACCTAGAAGCTCTAAGGAAATTGAAATTACTGACAATAATGATGTTGGTGCTAAATGTGATGATAATGTTAAGTTGAATGTTGATGAGGTAAAAAGTATTGATGCAAGTGGAATGTATAAAACTAAAAGTTTAGATGACTCAAAAAGTAAAACTTTAGCAGAATGTGATAAGACATATGTTGATATGGATCGTGCTTGTAAATTAAGACATTCGGTGACTCCGAGTAGAGAACGCTGTGGCAGTGAGGAGCCGTATGGGCGCCACTACCCCGACAATCATATAGTGAGACCCGTAAGTGTGGGAGGTTCTGCTGTGGCGGTGGACCAAGTCTACGGGCTGACCAATGAGGCAGAGGAACGTAGAGACAAAAAGGAAATTGAAATCACTAGAAATGGCATAAATGTAAGGAATGACAGAGAAAATAAATATGAGGGAAGTTCAGAAAAAGACATTGATGGTGACAGTGACAAATCAAAAATGTTTGACGAAACTCATTACAAAATTCGGTTAGGTGAAACAGATAAGATAAATACTGTACTTGGTGTAGAAAGATTAAAATTGTGTGAATCTCCTCATGTGGACAGTGGGAAGGTGAACAAGTTTCTGGGCCTGGAGACACAGAAGAAGGGAAGGCTAACTAAGGCTCCAAACATCACAGGAGATGAGGATGAGAGAATTACTAAGTCATGTAGCTTAGAGATTAGGGAGGAGGAACTGCTTGGCACGACTCCAGAACACAAGAGGCAGTACAGTTGGGAGATTGTGGAGCTTCAGGCACACAGAGTGGTGGCTGCGGCCAGGTGCGAGTGGTTCAGACGGGCGTTGCTGTCTGGCATGAGGGAAGCAATTGACAGGTAACAGTACTGTACTCTTTATCAGTCTCTATATTTATTAATCTTTACTTTGCTTACAACTTTACATGGGGTGAGTCAGGGGAAACACAAGCATGAAAAATAATGGAGACACTGTTAGGGGAGAGTGATGATAGACAGAAAAGATCTGAATGAAGAAGTAGAGACACTTCATACAGCACACATTTTCTCATATATTTAATGTGTAGCCAAAATATACAAAGGTAATCATATATCTTTATACAGTTCAGTGTATAATCATGTACTGTATTAGAAGGATGCTGGTACAGTACAGTAATACTGTAGATTCATCAAACTTAGTACAGTATGGATATTACTTCTGAAGGACTCCAGTAACACCACCTCTTGGAGTGCTGCTGTAGTGGCTGATGGTTTCCATAACTGTTGGGTGCAAATCCATATTTCTTATACTACTGTATTGAGTGATGCAAAGGCAAGAGTTCATTTGGCTGAAGCAGTCCAGTTATCTTCAAGGGATGGCAGTCAATAAATAACTAACTATGCTTGTTATTGGCCAATCAAGATAAGGTATATATATATATACTGTATATATATATATCTGGTGCATACTCCTCACTTGTGGGAGGCTTCACACATTAACAAGTGAAGACAATGCTCTTATTGTAACATGTACTGTACAGGCATTCATGTTATCTCCACAAAAATATATAAGCCAGTGTGTACACATTTGTTGAGTCACCCTGTAGATGGTGTAAGATCTCTGACAAGAATAGAGAGATCACAGTCATGGGTCCAGTGTTATAAAACTGCTCTTGGACTCCAGATGCCGCACGTATTACCGTACCCCACCGGTCATCACCCGTACATGACTAGACTGCCGTAAACACAGATGTCTTCCCCTCTCGTCTTTTACTCCTCACACACCAGGACAATGGAGAAATTATTTGTGCTTGTTGTTCATATATCCTGAGGTCCTTCAAGTATAACCTAAGAACATTCATATATTATTTATTATATCATCTCGCCAACAATGTATAGTACAGTACAAGGTATTTCTTTAGTCCAGTACAGTGGATACTTAACCCTTCATTGTGTGTTCTCCTGACATACAAAAACCACTATGTTCATGTAATAAGGAGGCTTGTACAGTCCTCTTCATTCATCCATCCTTAGACAGCAGTAGACTTCTTGGATCACCTGAAGATTAGACACCCCAATGCTAACCTAATCTAGTCTAACTAAACCTACCTCTACCTAACCTAACCCCCCCTCCCAAGGTAGCATTAGGATGGTTAATCTTCAGGTGAATTAAAGCTGGGGAGATAATCTTCAGGTGAATTAAAACTCTGGGCTAATCTTGAGGTGAATTTAAGCTGGGGGCTAATCTTCAGCTGAATTGAAGCTGGGGAGTTCATCTTCAGGTGAATTAAAGCTGGGGGGTAATCTTCAGGTGAATTAAAGCTGGGGGCTAATCTTCAGGTGAATTAAAGCTGGGGGCTAATCTTGAGGTGATTCAATATCTCTTGACATAATACTTAATAATTTCCTGTCTGCCACATAATTTACAAGAGAAACTTAAACTACTTGTTATTTCACAGTAGTCTTGTGTGTCCCCAGGTGTATAGTGGTTCACGGGTGCAGCGTCCAGACCTTCCAACTGCTACTGGGATTTTTGTACGCTGGCCATGTGGAGTGCAGCAGCCTGCCCCCTGACCAGCTGGTGGACCTGCTTGTGTTGGCTGATCATTATGGGGTATGTGGTTGGCTGATCATTATGGGGTATGTGGTTGGCTGATCATTATGGGGTATGTGGTTGGCTGATCATTATGGGGTATGTGGTTGGCTGATCATTATGGGGTATGTGGTTGGCTGATCATTATGTGGTATGTGACACTCTATTGTAATACTCTTGAGGCCTAAAAAAAATAAAACGTATGATAACCATATCACTCCTGTAGTAATTGCCCTGTACATCCATCACTCCTTTGACAGTTCAGTGTGTTTTTTTTTTTAGCTGTGTAATCTCAAAACTGGTGCTGTACTGTATAAAAGATATTTCAGTGAAGCTTGGTGTGTACTTGTCACAGGGTTTCCACATCATTGTCTAACTAGTAATTGCACGGTTTTCCAAATACACGCGCTACAGAAAGTATCGGAAAGGTGGGGGTCCAGTGGATGTCAAAATGAACACTGCGACTCCACCTGTCTCGGTTGGGTTATCAGAGTCCTTTGTCCGTTGTATCATTTTGTCAGCCCCAAAATTTTTACATTTTGTAGCGAGTTTACAGTGTGTATGTATGTATTATTATTATTATTATTATTATTATTATTATTATTATTGAATTAGTGTTTTGTGTACAGGTGGACGCACTGAAGCTACTTGTTGAGTCAGGCCTTGAGCAGCACGTTGACGATGACTCGGTAGTACCGTTGCTCACCGTCGCCCACCACTGCAATGCAACCCACCTCAAAGTACGTTCTCCTCTCTTTTAAAGGAGCTTATATGTGATGTGTTCCTTATGGGGTTCAGCAGCAGAAGGACCAGGGTTTAATCTTTCATTTCCTGTCTTGTCTTCCTCATACATTTTTACCTTCTGATTGTTTCTTCCTTAAATAACTTCTGCAAGGTCTTATCATATTAACACCAACAGGTTGTACATGTAAGTTGTGTCTGTGTGTAGAGAGAGAGAAGCGTCTAATGGTTAGGCAGCCCCAGCCACCAGGTGCAACTCGTACAGTACACGTTCATTCATGCAGGTTTGTTTACATATATTCACGATACATTATAACTCGTCAATATGGGGCCACTCTGTCCATAGGCAACACGTGGCTCTCACTCACGGGGGAGGGTCCAGGAATATCAAAAGGGGGAAGGAGTCCAAGAAGATGTGGGTGAGGGGACACAGTCAGCCCAACAGTCAACCCAACTGGAAATTTGTTGAAATCTGACCAATATGGTGGGCATTTTGAGGCCATGTGCATATTAGGAGATATTTATGGTAATTACTTTTTACTATAATTTAATATAACTGAGTACAATACTGCATTAAAGAAAAAGTATTGGAATTTTATGATGAAAAGTGGAGTCTGGACAAACAGCCATCACCCCCCAGATCCACCTCTACTTTCACCCTTCTATCGGGCAATATTTTATGCATAGTTCTCAGGGAAATATTGATTACGACAGTGCGTTTTCCACAGGCAGCTCCAGTGTTTGTAGGGAAGAAAAGGTCAAGTAAAGGAAGCACGGTAAAAGTAGGGAGACAGTACAAGATACAGCTTACCCCAATGTTGACATTTTGTACCAGATATTAGATACAGTCTGCTTTTGAACAGGTGGAGCAGAAAGAACATTTAGTAAAGTAAAAGTAATTAAATGGTACTTGAGATTAACCATGAGTGAAGATCATTTATCTCCTGCCTTCATTAGTACAGTACAGTGTATTAAGAGAGACTTAGCAGATAACTCTTAATTTCAGTAAGTTATAAATTGTTATTTCACATGATGCACATATTATTACAATGAATAATGCTTATGCCATACAATAAATTTTAATATTACACTGTGATAGGGTGATGGCATTATTTCACGAAGTCTAATTGTAAACGGCAGTACTGTACAGTATATTAGAATATACAGTATACTCTGGATTTATGCGGTCAATTGAACCCGTGGAGGCCCGCGTAAAACGAGAAACGCGTAAATGAAACAACATCACATATGGGATTAATTGAAATAGAGACTGGGCCGACCCCTAAACTCCACTTATTCCGACACTTATATGTACCTTGTAGTCAAAATAACATCTTAATTTTATGATGGTATGCACACACAATTAATAATTAAGAGAAATATCAATAATATTAGATTTTTTAACACTTACATTAGTAGAAAAGATGGCTGGGCATATGGGGATGGGGGGTTGGTTCCGAGGCAGAGGGCAGATTATTGGCCCTCACCTGTATCATTTGTATCAATTGTATCACTATCCACCACAGAGGCTTGCAGGGCTTCTTTGTCAAACCCATCAAATTCCATATAAGTCCATATCCTCACTATCACTATCACTGACTTGGGCCGGCTGTGGTGGGTGGCGGGTGAAGAACTCGGTAGTGTTTTGATGACTGGGCGACCTTGTGCGCACCCTGCCTGCGCCGCTTCCCGAATAAATGACCAAATTTACCGCATAATTAAAACATTTCATTCTGGCAAGGCACCGCGTAAATGACCAAACGCGTTAACAAAAACCGCGTAAATCCAGACTATACTGTACTAATAAAAACTTAAGTGCGTCTAACTAATGTGATAATGATTCCATGTAGCTTATAATTGGTTTAAAGGCAGGACCACAACCTACGCTAGTCTTTGCTTGGTGCATGGGTACTCACTCAGTCGTCACTGCAGTTAACTAATGCACACTTTCTTCTCCAATATTGTTCTTGACATACATATAGACACAGAGATATGATTGTGAATTAGGGCAAATTTTTTAACTTCATTTCCTGGGATCTACCATTTCTTTTGACAGAACCTTACTCGTGTCGTACCCTTACTTAGTTCCCTGCACCGCCACATTCCTTCATGTCCACCTCCACATTCCACTGTGTTCCATACTTTCCACCACCACATTCTGCTGTGCTGTTCCATACTTTCCACCACCATATTCCACTATATTGTTCCATACGCCCCAGCTTATTGCACCTGAAGATTAACCACCCTAATGCTAACCTAACCTAACATGACCTTACCCCCCCAAAGTATTCCTACATCAGTGGAAGTTTCATGTTCCTTTTATTCTATTTGTACATATAAGAGGGTGGAATAGGAATTGTTGAGCCAGCAGTTAAGGGCTTAGCTCATATATCAGCCCATAGTTAAGACAAGTTACCATTGCAGGAGGTGTGTGTGCATCACTGTGTGGTGAGCGCTGTAGTGCTGGAGGGAGAGACGCTGGGCCAGTTGCCAGAAGACCTACGGCAGCACCTCACCATGGCTCTGGGCAAACACAGGTGGGTTTGTTTGCATTGTTTACTCTCACCAACAAGGATATTGATGTTGTAGCTCCCTTCATTATGAAGATGTACATGGATTGGGACTGAAACACAGAACAGTACTGTACATGTGCCATGTGTACTTAGCTGTGACCTTTCACTCTCTGTGGTGTTGATATAGATTTGACCAATAGCAGTTTTTTAAGCAAAATTAGAGCTTGTGTAACTGCTGTGATACAGTCATGAAAATGTGTCCCACAAGGAATGTTTGTCAGAGTTTGTCAATACTGGTTTGTTATTCTGCATGTAGAGTATTCCATCGTCTCCTGCCCTCACAGAAAGGGGTTACAGGATGGCATAAGTTGCTCATACACGTTTCTCTGTGCATCTGGGAGCTATAAACACAGTGACTCCAACAAATATTGCTACATTATAACTAAGCCTAACGTATGGATATACTGTATCACAACAAGGTACTGCATCAGGTAACTTCGGGAATGAACTTCTTATATTCTCATTGTCCAGTGATGTACCCCTTTAGACTTATCTGTACAGTAGGCTGGTGGGGACTTACCTGCCATTATTGTAGCAGATTTTATTTAATGTAACTGAGTGTATGATACATTCAGCTATAAAATAATAATCTGTTTACAGAAAGTGGTGTTCAGGAGCCATAGGGGAGGAGATGCTGGTTGGTGGTGAGGGCACAGGAGGTGAGGACAGTCCCCTCTCTGTGTCCTCCACTGACCCCCTCACTGATGATCAAGTCAGTCTCATCCCAGGGCTGCAGGTGATGTAGCTTCTGTGTCACACAAACAACAATACTCTAGTCTTCAACATTGTCTCTATTATTATCAACATTTAAGGAATATATATGTGTGTGTGTGTATGCACGTGTTTGTTTGTTTGCTGTAGATGTGTGCATGTATTTAGGTGTGTGTGTGTGCGTGTGTGCATGCGTGTGTGTGTGTGTGTGTGTTTAGGGATGTTATGGTGCATGGTGTGAACAAGGCTGGCCATCTCCCATATGAAGTTTCTGCTCTATCATACTGGGAATTAGTGTGAAAGTTAAAGAAGGTCCCAGAGCCTTGACTGCCTATTTATTATATTTATCTGTTATATACACCTGTATGTACTGCTATGAGTTTTTTCATTACTGGACATGTACATTACAGTACGGTTTTGGAGGTGAGCAAAGTGTGGAGAGCAGCAACAGCAGAGTGGAGTCGGTGGTGCAGCAGCTGAGAGAGATCGTAGGCCAACAGGTACCTCGCTCCAGGCTCGTCCAGATCACGCTCGCCGCTGATTATGATGTCAACCGAGCACTCAATTTCTTCTTTGCTTCTTCGTCATAGTTGTTACATTATCATATCAATGTAGAAATTATTTTTTAATATCATGGTACTTATTACAGTGGAATCTCTCTTCAATATAGTATACTGTATTGCAGTTAAGGCTATATATCAAAATACTGTACTGTAAGTACGTTTCATACACAATTTTGTCATTACTGTAATTTACCGAGACTTTCGTGTGATCATGAAAAAGTGAACAATACAAAATAATTTCTCCTTATATTTTTGGTGTGGTTGTCACATTACTGTACTGTATTGTACACCCTTAGTAACACTTTTGCTACACTTAATTATCCATTTATAATTTCCTAACTACAGTCTCCAACACTGATCTAAAGAGGCTTATGAATTAACCATCTTTGAAGGAGAAGCAATTTATGTTAAAGGAACATATTGTAAAATGATTCAAAGAAGCATTTGTGTTTTTTAGTTCAAATATGCAGCAACCATATCATAGTAGTTGATAAAGGGCTCTTCAACCTTGTTAACATTTCTGTAGTGTAATAAGGGGCACGGCTAACACTCACATTAAGGGAGTCATATCAGGGAACCCAAGTGTGTGTGATGCTGTTCTTGGGAATCTGTTTTGACATTTAAAATAAGTGTCATGCCAACTTTGAGCCTCGGACATACCCTGTAGAGGAACATTTTCTACTTCATAATATTTCATTAAAATTTTATACAGAATTTCTTAATGGCTTTGAGAGATTCTAAAGATAAAATGAATAGTCTGTACTGAGGGGCTGTTGAACCTATTATTAGCTAACATTGCATGCTTATTGAAATGCCCCAAATGTATGCTAACAATTGTACCATTTTCCACATAATATAATCCTTTGGCACCCACTGCAAAAAGACACGACTCACTTTGCACTAGCTTCAATATTTTGCACAAATTCAGATCTCTTTAACAAACATTGCACCACTACTATCAGCGTGACTTGTCGATACTGAACATTTGTATTGCTTTCATTCCCCCTTGTGATATGAAAGGTACTTCAACTGTTCATCATGTTTATGGGGGCATTTACACTGGTCAAGGGGGCTGTAGAGCTGATGTCTGTCTGTCTGTCTGTCTATCTGTCTGCCTGCCTCTCTGTCTATCAATCCTACAACATTCTCAAAAGCTGCACCAGTTTGAAGGCTCTCACCATCTTTACAGCCTTTTATTCACCTCTAAAATGACCTGAGGGAATACTAAGACAATGTTCTACAGAGCCTAGCCCCTAAAGCCTGACTGCTAAAGCCTGATCCTTGAAGCATGACCACTAAAGTGTGACTCTTCAAGCCTTCTAAAGCCTGTCCCTTAAAGTTTGGTCCCTAAAATATATTTCCTAAAGCCTGACCTCTAAAGCCTGTACCTTAAAGCCTGACCCCTAAAACTTAACTCCTAAAGCCTGCCCCCTAATGCCTGTCCCTTAAAGCCTGACCTCTAAAGCCTGTCCCTTAAAACCTGACCCCCAAAATTCGACTCATTAATTTCTACATACACCAACATAATGCTTCATCAATGCTTATGGTGGTGTCATGAGCACATCTGTCACCCTCCTATGATACATTATTGCAAATGTTTGTTTCAGAAGTATATTTGTAACTCACTGAAGGTCTCAAGACTCTGTTTTTTGATGAGTCGCTTGATAAACTTAATCTTGCAGACGTTTTTTGCATCATGGTGGTCAGTGCTTAATGTATAGGAGAGGAGTTCATCATGGTAATATCTTAAATAATTTACTTTCATAATTAATATAAAATCATTCATATCAGTGTTAACAATCATTAACTTGTCCACAACACATAAAGCAGAAGTTATTTCCAGTACTCTTAATACAAATATATATATGTGTGTCTTGTGTGTGTGTACAGTTCTCTTGAGATGAAATTCATATTTTTATCCTTCCATTCAGCTTAACTTAGAAGGCTAGCCCAGTAAAAGCCCATCACCTGACTTGACCTAACCCAGTCCATTAAGATGTATATAAGAATTACAGTTACAAGCCCTCTGTGGTAAGCATATATTTAAAAAAAATATATACTATATATACTGTATATATTATATGAAACATGTTTATAAAATGAATATGTAACAAAAAAATGGGAAAAATAATTAATTTCTTGGGATCTTGGTGTTCTTACCCTGGTCCTAAATATTGCATGATGAATTTTTTCAACATTCCTCACAAAGGCTTAACCAAACACTAACCTAACCTAACCTAACCCTAGCTTAACCTAAAGGATGTGCAACTTTTCTTGATGACACACAATCATCATTTTCCTTGGTGTTCTTTTCCTTAAACTAACATATTATTTCTCTTGAATGTCGATAGTAACACAGGGTAATATATAACTTCTTAATATCATTCCACAGCAATTCTTCTACCCCCCATACAACACTATACTACTGTAGTTGGCCTCTTTTCAATAACATTCAATAACCATCTTTCTCTCCATCTGATATTGGTGATTTTTATTTATTTTATTTATTTTTTATAATTTTACCAGAATGTCACCTCAACACTAGAATGATCTTATGGAGCTCCAGTCTTGTGTTCCATTAGTCTTTGACAGTCTTGAAACTAATAAGTAATCCATCAGTTACATCTGTACACTGGGTAAGATAATCCTGATGAGCGTGATGCTTTAATGTGGGAGCCTTAAGTAGGTGCTTCATCCTCATTATAAACGATAAAGTTCTATTGTCATATTTTAGAGGACAAATATTGATGTGAAAATAAACAAAGGTAAACTTATTCTCACCTAACTTAGTCTAGCATAGCCTAGCCTAAACCTAACCAGTCCAACATTGTACCATCCTGACATAGACAACATTGTACCAGCCTGACCTAGAGAACAAACAGTACCACTTTTAAGAACACACATGAGTACCGTTCTTGCTTTAAGATTACTGTACTGTACACATTTGTTCTCTTACTGTACACTGTGGGATGATCCATGTTTGCCTTTCTCATCTTGAGTATAAACATGTGTACCTTTTCACTGTGTACCTCCTCTGCTTGATAATAATGATGTGTATTATTATCAGCTTGAAGAAGACATTTGTACTGTCTGTCTACAGCTTATTATAAAACAGCCAAACATGCTTAGTGACTTTCAGCATGTTATAAAAGATATATGCAAGTCGTTGGTTGACCTTTACATGTATACAATACTTGCCACTTGAATCAAAGAAATAATTGCTAACTTGTTGATCAATGTTTTCTTTGGGAATGAGAAAACCAGAATTGTTTATTGAAAAAAAATGTTTGAATGTTATGTACATAAATTTGTATGTATTTTTTAGTATTATTTATTAAAAGATATGTATAGAATGTTGATTTAGCAGTGGCAACAATACTTGGTAGTTTGTAAGAGTACGTTACAATGCAATTTTTTTACTTAGCACTCGATGTCATTCCATGTGTCAGCTTTAACGTGTAGCTCTGTAAGGTATTATTTATTTTGGTGATAATAACTGGCAGCTGCAGGATCTTGATTCCTTGTTAAATACTGTATTGACTTGTTGTTGGACTATTTATACTTTGTAACTGTGTGAGAAATATTGAACTATGTGAGTCAGTGTTGATATATACCATTAACAGTAGAATTCATGTACGTTAAGTTACAATATGCAAGATGTGATCAGCTTGTTGAGCTTATAATCTTCAGAGCCTTATGTTCACCCTGCAAGACAGCCAATTTTTGGAGAAGTACCACAAACAAAACCACTAAGCCATTTGTGTTTTCTTTTTGGAAGCAGACAACCTGACTCTAACCTTGCAGGCCCAGGGTTGGTTTTATTTGGTTTGTAACTGCTGAAAAATAAATGGCTTAGCAGTTTTGTTTGTGATTTTGCTTTTTAACAGCCACTGTTTTGCATTCACCAGAAGAGCTTTGATTTGCTGTTATAGTGAACCCCTTATTGTGAATACTGTACTGAACTGGACCCTTCCCCCCTCCCTTAGTGATAACTCCCTCATCACTCACAAAAGATGAGCATAAGGTGATATAAATAACTGAGTTGGGTAGGTTGAGAGATGTTAGCCCATATTATTAAACAACATCTTCCCTTGAAGAGGGTCGTCGTGTTTCAACCCGAGTTTTAATCTAAACGAGTCCTGAGGGACACCTCAATACAGTACCTAACGGGGTGGTGTGGCGGTAAAATTAACTAATTTTCCAATAAAATTAATTTATAATATTGGAATTAGTTAAGTTTACCGCCACACCACCCCGTTAGGTACTGTACTGCTGTGTCCCCCAGGACTCATTTAGACTAAAACTTGGGTTGAAACACGACGACCCTCTTCAAGGGAAGATGTTGTTTGATAATACGGGCGTGAGTCTTCTCACTTTACAATACTGTATACTCCAAAATCCCATATTATCTGGGAGTTAACAGTACTGTATTATTATTCAGGATCAGAAATGTGAGTATTTTCTTACACTGGGTTAAGTAAGGCTGTTGATTTTCATAGATTCAGAGTAGGCTGTGTCGGAAACTCAATACTGAACTCCCAAACTGAAGACAACTTATGGAAGGACCACCTTTAATAGTCTTGAAACCTGAATTGTCTGCTACTTCATGATAATTACACCAACAAGGACTATTTTATATGTATTTAAGAAGAGTTTTTGTTAATGTTAACATTACAAGTATCAGAAAAGTCTTGTTTCATTACTTCTTGTATATAACTTGGGTTTTCTGATAGAGGTTTAAAATATATAGTGGTGCCTTTCAGATCTTACCTATTCTAAACCTAGAGAATCATATTGCTGGCCTTAGTGTTAAGTTAAATGACATGAATGATCCTCTCTGAAACATCTTGTCCAGTTCACATTTTAAACTTGCTCTCCCAAACATCACTTGCACTAACAACCTCCAGTCCACAGAGAAATAAAAGTATAAATGTGCAGTTAGTCAAAAAGCATCAGTGAGAGCTAGAGTAATGAACCCAATACAAACAATGATCTCACTCAGTCTCTTAAGTATGGAGTCCTTGCAGGAAAGCGCTACAAAATGATTATTGAATACTAAATCTCTTCTTCCTGTATGTCCTGCTTACACACAGTATACAGTATTGTACTGTACTAGAAAGAAGAGCATCACATAGGTCACTCTCTAGTCTCGAATTTAAAAATGAACTTTTCTTTTTTTGTTATTACCTCAACTTCAGTCAAAGTTAGTATGTTGTGTAAACTACTGTAGGTTACACGGTGTTAGTATGTTGTGTAAACTACTGTAGGTTACACGGTGTTAGTATGTTGTGTAAACTACTGTAGGTTACACGGTGTTAGTATGTTGTGTAAACTACTGTAGGTTACACGGTGTTAGTATGTTGTGTAAACTACTGTAGGTTACACGGTGTTAGTATGTTGTGTAAACTACTGTAGGTTACACGGTGTTAGTATGTTGTGTAAACTACTGTAGGTTACACGGTGTTAGTATGTTGTGTAAACTACTGTAGGTTACACGGTGTTAGTATGTTGTGTAAACTACTGTAGTTACACGGTGTTAGTATGTTGTGTAAACTACTGTAGGTTACACGGTGTTAGTACGTTGTGTAAACTACTGTAGGTTACACGGTGTTAGTACGTTGTGTAAACTACTGTAGGTTACACGGTGTTAGTACGTTGTGTAAACTACTGTAGGTTACACGGTGTTAGTACGCCAGGTAACTACTGTAGGTTACACGTGTTAGTATGTTGTGTAACTACTGTAGGTTACTGTAGGTGTACGGTGTTAGTATGTTGTGTAAACTACTGTAGGTTAACACGGTGTTAGTATGTTGTGTAAACTACTGTAGGTTACACAGTGTTAGTATGTTGTATAAACTACTGTAGGTTACACAGTGTTAGTATGTTGTGTAAACTACTGTAGGTTACACGGTGTTAGTATGTTGTGTAAACTACTGTAGGTTACACGGTGTTAGTATGTTGTATAAACTACTGTAGGTTACACAGTGTTAGTATGTTGTGTAAACTACTGTAGGTTACACAGTGTTAGTATGTTGTGTAAACTACTGTAGGTTACACGGTGTTAGTATGTTGTATAAACTACTGTAGGTTACACAGTGTTAGTATGTTGTGTAAACTACTGTAGATTACACGGTGTTAGTATGTTGTATAAACTACTGTAGGTTACACGGTGTTAGTATGTTGTGTAAACTACTGTAGGTTACACGGTGTTAGTATGTTGTGTAAACTACTGTAGGTTACACGGTGTTAGTATGTTGTGTAAACTACTGTAGGTTACACAGTGTTTGTATGTTGTATAAACTACTGTAGGTTACACGGTGTTAGTACGTTGTGTAAACTACTGTAGGTTACACGGTGTTAGTACGTTGTGTAAACTACTGTAGGTTACACGGTGTTAGTATGTTGTGTAAACTACTGTAGGTTACACGGTGTTAGTATGTTGTGTAAACTACTGTAGGTTACACGGTGTTAGTATGTTGTGTAAACTACTGTAGGTTACACGGTGTTAGTATGTTGTGTAAACTACTGTAGGTTACATGGTGTTAGTATGTTGTGTAAACTACTATAGGTTACACGGTGTTAGTATGTTGTGTAAACTACTGTAGGTTACATGGTGTTAATATATTGTGTAAAAGGCTTTAGGTTACATGAAGTTGATACAATATGTTGTAGTCTACCGTGGGTTTCACAAGATAGTTGCATTGTGCAGGGTTCAGGTTGCTGCTAAGGTTTCATAAGGCTGTTAGCTTTTGTCAGTAATGATAAGTTGTGTCGATGTCCTTTTTATTTTATTTATATTATTTATACCCAGTATCTTGTGTAAGGTCAAGTAAGTGTCAGAAATAAAATATTTGTCTACAGTTCCTGAACTTGTAATCTTGCTCTTTTAAGTTGGGTATGTTGAAGATTGACAAAATGTGAAGGAAACTACAGTATTGATCATCTCTACTAAGAGTGAACATATATTCAGTTTAACCAGATCTCCATTATCTCAGCACCTACAAGCATTTTCATGTAAGTGTATGAGTTACGTTATTATTTGTGCTGTTCTCAATATGGTATTTTACTCGTAATTTTCGTATTTTTGAGATTTGCAATTATCTCACTCACCCCCCTACACACACACACACACACACACCTGGCCTGTGAGGTCCATTCTTGACCATTACCTATTAAAGTCTGCATCATCATTGGGTTTACTTTCACTTGTACATTTCTAGTTGTGTTGAACATCTTGTTGACAGGCTCCTCATATTTCTAGAGAGTATAATGAAATGAGATGTAATATTGCCAGTGTATAATGTAGATTTAGTACATGAGACTGAGTCCAGCTAGGGTGGAGGTAAAAGTGTGAATGTGTTGCAAAGTGGCAATAAAAGTTTGTTTAGTAAGTAATATAATGGTGGTGTCTTGGGGCCTAGGGGGGCAGATAGGTTTATGAAGGTATCTTAGTTCAAGGATTGGAGTGGTAAGTTGACTTGTAGTGTGTGTGAGTCGGTCATATACAGTACTGTGTCACTCAACCCATATTAATAAACTACTCCTGCAAGATCTTACTACCTCACTAAATGAGAATAGTATAAAGGATTACACAAAATACCTCTGTAATCAACAGTGAACCTGGTTTTTTAGCAGCCACTACTTGATCATAAGTAATACAGTACTAAGTACGTACTGTGCTTCTTTTATTATGGTTTCTGTTTTATTGGAAGACTTTTGTGGATGTCGTATTGTCTACTTATTTTTCCCTATTCAGTGTATGTTGTTATCTTGGCTTACCTTTGTACTGAAGCCAAATATGGTTTTACTAATCACACTATCATGTCTATAGACATCACAGCTTGTACTATCTAGTTGTCAACTTACGCTGACCACCATTGCTAGCCAATACAAAGTAAAGATAGATTGGCCATACTGCCATTCTTAAACTGTATTACCAGTTTCTTAAAGCATGTTCTACTATTCAGCACTGGTAATTCTTTTACCAACTAATACAGTACTCATCTAAATAGCACCACTTGTTAACTAAGTATTACCTTCTATTGCAAGTTTTTCCTTGTGCATTATTCCCCATAAAATATTTCAAGTGTTACTGTGTTCTTGTACAGTATTCAGACTTTATAAAGGGGAGGAAATAACCGGGCGAGTCTTGCCTCACCAGACATTCCAGCAGCATTAACTCCCTGTGCATTGTTCTGCCACAGTGTCTAGCTGTACCTCCTACACCAGTGACCCTACAAACATTTTTCTGGGGTAGGGTGTTGTATTCTGCTCCTGTGAGTCCTTCAGCTATTTGTATGAGGGAGATAAAAGACGGTGGGGTGTTACTGAAGGTGCTCGCTCGTGTCTGGTGGACACGAGTGACACTCTTAAATCAGTCCCCTTCATAATCTTATAAACAACCTTCTCACTAGGACAGATAACTTTTGTTTTATGTCTGTATAAGCCAAAGTTTCATTAAAATATTGTGTCAGTCATATAATTGTTAATTAATAGACTACCTGTGTATGCCAGTTAATAGATTTATACTGAAGTTCAGTGTTGTCTTACTCTGCATTGTCTGCAGAGAAGTGAACCATAGAACTTGAGCCAGTGTTTGTTGTCTCTCATCTTGTTACATGCAATTTTTTACAGCTTTTTGTGTATTCAGAGTTTTCTGAATTTGAGTGCCGCCATCGCTGAATGTTTTCATCCATATTTCAGTCTGTTTAGATCAATAAAATGAGGCCTATCAATAAAGATTTTAGTTGTTTTTGTTTTTTAGTAGTGTTTTATTTGCATGACTACACCTACTCTTAAACTTCTTAAATAATTATTGTAAACAACTTACACCTCTGGGTGCTGGGTTCAAACTGGGGCCACCATGGTTGGTAATCAGGCAGCTTGTCTATTGGACCACCCAGAGGTGTAAATTGTTTACATTAATTTACTTGTGTATATTACAGGTTTTGATATATTTATTAAATTCTTGTTCAAATAGAGTACCGAGTCAAATTCCAATGACATTCTTACCTTGTATGTGCCAAGTGCAGTGCATCACTGCTTAACTCCTGAGTACTGGTATAATCAATGTTGCTCTACAACAGTGGTTCCCAAACACAGGGTTACAAGATGCATCATAAGGGGTCGCATAGAGGTCATGGGGTCACCTGGGTCTTGCAGCAGTCACATGTGATTTTTATTTATTTTTTTAATCCAGGTGTCATGGACTGAAGGACAAAGCCGATAGGTGCTGTCTCATTAAGTCGGGACCATGAATTATGGTCAAGGGGTTAACTCTTCTTGCCCGGTGACACGTTTCACAACAGAAATTCCACACTCTTGTATATTGTATACCTTTAACTGTTCTCAGCTTGGTTCACTCTACTTCCCACGGATACTTACAGATGGCAGCAAATTTCAATGAGTTGCTTATTGAGTCTTATGCACTCAAAATGTCAGAATTACAGGCTGACAATGAGGCAAGGGTGAATTTTGACGTCTGTGATGACAGCAAAGTTTGGGATTACTTTATCAGAGACATTCAGCTGTTAAAAATCAAGCTATCAACGTTCTGGTATAAAAAAAAGGATTACCATAACAGTATATCATCACACTTTTACTTAGAAAATTGATTACTATGTTGCTTAACCTCATTACCCCAAGGTATATAAAATGATGACGTACCACAGTTGTAGTGTATGTTGTTTAACCATTTAATTATACCCCCAGAGATGTAACCTGTTTCTGCCAGTGTTTATTTTTACACTTCTCAATTATGATTTGGTTTTACGTTTAAATACGTGTAAAAATAGGTCCCCCCCCCCCCGAGTCATTCAGTTAAGTCGCACTGGATAGGCGAAAGCGTAGTGTATGTGGCCAGTTGTCAAATTTCTCTTTGTATGGCTCACATACGTACGTACATGTAGGAGATCTCGCACTAAGGATGGAGGTAAGAAGGGAGACTTTCAATGGCGTTTTCTGTATATATATATAAGGTAGTCCCCGACTTAAGACCGACTCGACTTACGACCGCCTCAGTCGTACCAAAATTTGGTCAAATTATGTATTTTTGAGTCCCAAAGTCAGTACACGGACAAAATTTTCATATGTAATTCACTTTAAAATGGCTGGCAAGCTTAAAAATGAGTGTTTTGTGGTGCTGAGAAGAAAAAGAGACCCAAATTTTTTATTTTTTATGTGTTATTTAAGCATTTCCGACACGACAATTTCGACTTACGACCTGGATGTTGGTCCCTAACCCCACCATAAGTCGGGGAGTACCTGTGTATATATATATACAGTCAACCCTCGCTTTACGCGGTCCCACTTAACGCGTTTACGCGGTACCCTGCCGAAACCGGAATGCTTACTTTCCACGTGGTGTACCCTTTTATGCTGAGAGCGGCGCGAGCAGGGTGCGCACAAGGTCGCCCAGTCATCAAAACATTACCGAGTTCTTCACCCGCCACCCACCACAGCTGGCCCAAGTCAGTGATAGTGATAATGATAGGATATGGACCTTGAGGGGTTTGACAAAGAGGCCCTGCAAGCCTCTGTGGTGAATAGTGATACAAGTGAGGGCCAATAATCTGCCCTCTGCCTCAGAACCAACACCCCATCCCCGGGTGCCCAGCCATCTTTTTTACTAATGTAGTGTTAAAAAACCTAATATTATTGATATTTCTCTTAATTATTAATTGTGTGTGCATACCATCATAAAATTTTAAGAAGTTATTTTAACTACAACATAGGTATTGTGTCTGAAAAAGTGGAGTTTGGGGGTCGGCCCGGTCTCTATTTCAATTAATCCCATATGTTATGTTGTTCACTTTACGCGGGCCGCCGTGGGTTGAATTAACCGCGTTAAGTGAGGGTTCACTGTATATATTATAATATATATATATATATATATATATATATATATATATATATATATATATATATATATATATAATATATATATATATATATATATATATATATATATATATATATATATATATATATATATATATATATATATATATATATATATATATATATATATATATATTTAATATATATATATATATATATATATATATATATATATATATATATATATATATATATATATATATATACCTGTAGTATGTACAGTGCAGTGCTCGGAAGTTGCTGTGTGATGAGTAGCTTGTTGAGAGGTCTTGTTGGTTTGAGAGCGTTGAGTAGAATGACTTTCACGATGAGGCTGGAGTATTTATGTGATTCTGCAGGATCAGGTTTGAGAAGTGTGAAGTGAGCGGCGCTGCTGATTGGCTGAGGTGAAGGCGGTAACGGGCCAATCACCTTTCAGTCTGTGAAACTCGCTGCTGATTGGCTGGTAAGCGGACGGCAAGTGATCAACCAGCAGTTGTAGGGGAAAGTATCCACTACAACAGCACTAGTTGGAGTCGCACTGAAAAAGCTTGGGAACCCCTGCTCTACAGTCACTTAACTTTTGAGAATGAGGCTTAGACTACAGCAGTGGTTTACAAGTTGTGGGACATGCCCTGTGTACTGTTGGCAAGTGTAGGGGGGGGGGCACCCTCATGGTGAAAGAGCTGAAAAGTATAAGAAGGCTTAGAGTTTGATTGGAAATGAGCTAGGAATTAGAGAATTATTTTTCATTGTTCAATATGTACAGTATTCACCTTTTTAAGCACCATGTAATTTTTTTTATAAAAACAGGTGTATGAAACCTCAAGTGAATTGAATATACAGTACTGCATAATATGAATTTCTTAAGCTTAAATCAAAGCTGAGGCAGAGTGCTGGAATGCAGTCAGCCGTTTTACCAGCAATGTTTGTGTAAGTGTCAATTATGTCACACTCTTCCATGTGCAGTGGTACTTAGTACAGTGTAGTGATATTGGTGTTCTGCTCTTGTAGTTCGTTACTAATTTAATTACAGTACTTTTGATATTTAAGTGTGACGGCAAACATTTTTTGAGTGAGAGTTGTAAACTCTTGGAACAATCTGCCAGAGAGTGTTGTGACGGCACCGAGTGTGAGCTCTTTCAAGACCAGACTTGACCAACACTGGGGCAGGTTCAGGCACATTCAGGAGCCGGTGCATGCCCAGTAATTGCCAACAGTGCGTGACAGAGACGTGACCGATCGCCCAAGCGGCTAACGAGCCGATCAGTGGTAAAGAGGATAAAAGAAAGTACAGTATTACAAAAGGTAAGTCAGCCCTACCTTTCTGCTTTCTCATCACCAGCTCCATGATCACCACCACTACCTCTATTATCACCACCTAAATCATAATTTCACCTTCCTCCCTCCTTCCCACACCCACTGCCTTGTATTATTTCAATGTGATTTTTATATTTTAAAATGTTAGTTTTTGCATAATGTAGTATTATTGATATGTAATTTGTCTTAGTATGCCTTAGTACTGAAGTTTGAAATAATGAATGTATGTATCTTTGAATAAATTTAGCTAAATGTCTTTCTCACCAGAAACGGTTATCCCAACGATTATGAATAAACTCATTTAGAAATACATTATTACTTCAGGACGAAATCGGACAGATTTGCAACAGGCAATCAGCTGTAATTACACTTTGTAAATTAGACGATCTCCCACCAATTACATTTCAGGACGCTATCATCCTCCCAAATTCTGAAATAAATACGTTAGGCCTCACCATTTCCTCCAATATGTCCTGGAAATCACACATCCTTAGTATAACTAAAGCTGCCTCCCGAAAGTTGGGAATGTTGTTCAGATGCCGCAGCTACTTCACCCCTGAGCAGTTGCTCCAAGTATATAAGTGATTCATTCGTCCTAACTTGGAGTACTGCTCTCATAGCTGGGGTGGCTCTTCTTCTGTCCAACTGTTAGATAGGGTGGAATCAAAGGCAGTTCGTCTTATTAACTCTCCTCCTTTAGTCGACAATCTCTCTTCCCTTTCTCTTCGCCGCAATGTTGCTTCACTCTCTCTTTTACAGGTACTTTAACGGGCAATGTTCGGTGGACTTGGCATCCTGTGTACCGCCGGCAAGGCCGTGGGCTCGTAACACACGTCTTGCCCGCGGTGCCCACCGTTTCTCTGTGGATGTCGGTCACACGAGAATAACCCGTTATAGTACCTCCTTCTTTCCTCACACAGCCAAACTGTGGAATGCTCTGCCTTCTTCTGTGTTTCCATGCTCTTACAATCTGTCTCACTTTAAAAAGCTGGTTTTCCGGCATCTTCGTGGTGTAGATTAATACAGTATAACCTTTTTTTTCTATATTTACAATTTCTTTCCGTTCCCCTCCAGGCTCCGTTGTGGGTCGTTTGACCTGTGCCCGGGTGGGCTAATTCCCGTAAAAAAAAAAAAAAAAAAAATCTTGAGGGGGCGGGGCATCTCTTCTCAACTTGGAAAAAACGCACTGTAGCAGGAGTCATCCGGGGCACTTCAATAATGAATGAAATAGTTCACTTTACTGATTATGATGTTCAGGGTAGTACAGTATACTGTATCCACATTTTTGTTTACCAGCAAGTCAGGCCAGCCTTAACAAGTATTATGTTGTGTATATTTGTCCACACTGAACTCTTCATTAAGTTGTTTGTTCCTCCCTAGTCAGTCTTTCTAAGTGGGCTTCATTACTCTATTCAAGACAGGCAGATAGGTTACACACTTATTATTTCAAATATAATAAAACTCGAGGATAATAAATAACAAAACAGATAAATGAATTACATATGTATATTAAAAATTCATAAAAAAATAATAAAACATATTTTAAGGCATTCCTCTGGAATGGT